TTCCACTTAGATGTGATGAGAAGGAAATAGAGAATACTTTGCCTTATTTAATATATATTAGAAAGCCCAACCATTAGGCAATGTGTTTCTAAATCACCTTAATTTCTTCTCTCTCTTATTAATCTAGAAAAAGCAGCAGCTTGAAAGTGATGTGTGTATATTCATATCTGTTATTATTGTGTTTGTTCAAATGGATTTTTATTGTGTAGTTTATATTGTTTGCTCCTCCCTCATGCCCAACCCAGTTACCAAAAATCTAATTTTCTAATGACGTCATTATCTCTGTAGCAGCCGGTTTTGATAAAGGATTCTAAACATCCAGTAGGTCAGAAGTAGCAGTAAATGAATTTAGAAGAAACAGAAATCTTGTAGATGCTTTTTTTCCTTTTTAGGTATGAGATATGGAAGTGATTTTTAAACTGCAGCATGATATCATTTAGAATATTAATATAACATTCAGAATTACTCTGGATTTTCTGTGTCTTGAAAAGACAATTCTTAATTATTGGTGTTTTTGAGAGTTGTGGAGGGGGTCATGGAGAACCTGCCACCTCCTTCTCTAACCACTCACCTCGTCCTTGTTCTTGATCTGTCTTCACCCTGTCCTCTGATTGTGTCCTCTGTTCTATTGATCTCTTCTCAGTATTGGAACTCCAGTGAGAAACTGATGGGATAGATGTTATATCTATTCATGGTCCTGTGGTGATTGTTGGAGTAGTGGTTGGAATTCTCAGATTACACAGACATCCTTTGTTTTCTGAAAGACATGACACGTTACACTAGTAAAAGGGTTCTGTGGGTCCCTGAATAAAAAATTTAAAATCTCTCATGCCTCACTTGTAGGATTAAAACCCCCCACGAATGAACGGCTGTTTAATGCCAATTTAAAATGCTTCCATTGCCCTGGCTAGTCTTCTCAGTGGTTAGAGCATTGGTCTGTGGACTGAAGGGTCTCAGGTTTGATTCCAGGTCAAGGGCACTTTCCTTGGTTTCAGATTCCCCAGCCTCTGAAGGAGCATGTGGGGGAGGCAACCAGTCGATATATCTCTCTCCTGTCGATGTTTCTCTCTCCCCCTCTTCTCTCCCTTCCACTTTTTATAGAAATCAATGGAAAAAAATATACTCATGTGAGGATTAAGAAAAAAAGACATAAAATGCTTCCATTTAGAAAGGTTTTCAACTATCTGAATAATGTAGAAATAACTTGTGGCATTCTTTGGTTTGGTGAACCCTAGAATGAATCCTGTAATATTTAAAATGGCATTGTATGCACCCATTCTTAATGAAATTAAATTATCCTGGAAATAATTCTATCCTTTACTCCTACCCTAAAGGAAACCTGTTTTCTTCCTTTTCCAGTTCCCTGAAAGCTTTCCTCCAGCCACTTGGTTATTGCTGCCACCTAATGTCATAAAATAAAATTGCAAACAGTTTGCCTCTTCCAAGAGATTTTCACAATTGTGCAGTTTATAGAAATAACCATTTGAGAGCAACAGTTGTTTTTCCTCTACATTCTTAAATAATAGCACTCTGAGTGGTTACAGCCTCTCTGGAGAGAAAGTGGGTATCGTATATCTCACTAACAAAGAGTGCAGCCAATAAAGAACAAAGAGATTTAAGAGCCCTATTCCCTGGTATAGAACAACGACTTTCAACCTTTTCACCCATGGCACACACAAACTAGCAAAAATTCTGTGGCCCACCAAGAATACATTTTTTGTTGTTGTTGACTTGACAAAAATAGGTATAATTCATTCACACCAGACATCTATTGTTGTGCTGGCTGTTATCACTCCCCTTTGGATATTCCCCCCGCCCCCCTTTTCTCCCACTGAGTTTTAGAGAGAGTGGAAGGGAGAGAGAGAGGGAGAGGAATATCAATGTGAGAATTGATTGGTTGCCTCCTGCAGGTGCCCTGACTCGAGCCTGCAATGCAAGTGCATGCCTTTGACCAGAAATTGAACCCTCAAGGCTTTGGTTTGGTCTGTGGACCAATGTTCTAGCTACTGAGCAGAACTAGCCAGGGCCATTTTTCATGTTGTGTTTTTTTTCTTTTCTTTTTTCTTTTGGTGTGTGTGTGTGTGTGTGTGTGTGTGTGTGTGTGTGTATTTCACAATTTAAGGGAAAAGAGGCCAGTGCCCCTTACTAAATAGTCAGGTATTGCATGTTTTAAAAATTCTTTGAGCACACTAGTTGAAAACTGCTGCATTGGGACCTGTTGCCAATCTGACATTGGCAGGTACTTCCCCCTCATAAAATTTGGTTCAGTGTTCTAAAGTTCTGTTCCCACTTTATCTTTTTTTCCTGTGTGTAGTATGAAAGTGTAGCCCTTATACGTGATACTGTTTATTTATTTGGGCAGAAGTTCCCCATGTTGACTGGGTTTTCTTTTAGAGCTGTGTCAAGTAGATGTTCAGGTTCTCATTGTGTGAGTAGAGAGTTTTGATAGCTTTTCTTTGCTCAGTTAGCAGAAACATATCTGAAGGCTTTCTATCAATAGTGTGGCCTTAACCAGAATAACACTTCCTACTGGTTTATTTATTTATTTGTGAGCTTCCTTAGCTGGACTCTGTGCTTATAGTACATGTCATAAAGATTGCAAAGTCAACTGTGCTGCTTGCAAAATCTCAGACTTTAAAAACAAAACAAAACCGAATCTAGATCTTAAATGATTTATAATTATACTACTCAATTTTCTTCAGTATACTGAAGTAGAACATTAATTTTCCCACTGGCTAGAAAGGAATGTAAAGAAAGTTTTCTAGATATGGGAAAGTGAAGGGAGATGGAGTATGCTATATGAGGCAGAAATTTGTTTTTAATCCCGATGAATATTACAATTTGACAGATTCTTTCTTTAAGGATTCTGTTACCTTAAAAAAACACACCACATTTTATTTATTTTTTAATTATTATTTTTAATACATTTTTTATTGATTTCAGAGAGGAAGGGAGAGGGAGAGAGAGATAGAAATGTCAATAAGAAAGAATCATTGATCAGCTGCCTCCTGCATGCCTCCCACTGGAGATTGAGCCCGCAACCTGAGCATATGCCCTTGATTGGGATCGAACCTGGGACCCTTCAGCCCGCAGGCCTATGCTCCATCCACTGAGCCAAACCATCTCGGGCAAGGATTCTGTTATCTTAACCTGACTTTTTAAAGACTATTTTATGTGGAGCACTTTAATAGATAATTTGGGTGTTGCTGTTTCTCTTAATCATGCTGTAAATAAGTTATTTATCCTTTCTAATTCCGAAGATGGTTAGCAAAGTCCAGTGAGTATAAAGTCCCACCTGCAACTAGTTTGGGCTTAATTTTAACAGCTCTTTTATAGAATTGAATCCCAGAACCCTTGGTGGATAGAGAACCTATTGAATAAAATAAAAATGGATTTGGACTTGCTGTTATTAATTATGTGTAGATACTATGCCTATTCAGATGGGTAAGAATCCTAATTAAATACAGTTTACATTGTCATTATCTTTTGCTTTCAGATTTTCAGGCAGGTTTCAGCGATCTTGTTCAGGCCATGCTGACCAAATTGTGCAAGTAGAATCTTGAGACTCACAGCCTCAAGTGACTGGCTTACTGCTAAATATAGAACTCTTATTGAGTTCCTTTGAGCTACTAATTTTGTTAGTCTATTGAAAAAGTTACTATTACTACTATCAGGTTTATCAGGCACAGTTTCTTATGAGCTTTAGAAGACAATCATAACTTCATTATCTTTTTGCTACTGAAACCTTTCTTGTAATACTTTACAGTTTTATTAAACATCAGTATCAGATTTCTATTCTCCAATTATTACTGATATTTTTTTCTGAACTGAAGACTGGATGAAGGCGTATGAGGGCTTTAATGTAGTGGTTAAGGGCCTAGCCTCTGAAGTCAAATTTCCTGAGTTTGAATTTCTTCTCTCTGATCTTGGGTGAGTAATTTAACTGCTGTGAACTTCAGTTTTCTAATATGTATAAGGGAGGTAATGTAGTTGTTATGATGATTAAATACAGATAGATAGATAGGTAGACAGATAGATAATCCATTTCACTGTGTATTTGGTTAAAATAAATTCTAAGATATTTTATTTGTATGATTCCTGCAAATATTCCTTATTCTGGGTTTGTCTTTGTCTTTCCTGGGCTAAGGAAGCTAAAGGATATCTGAGTGATAGTCATGTACCTAATTATATATGCTTATTCATAGCTTCTCACTTGTCTTGTAGCTCCAATCTTAGGTAGGTGGTTGAGGAGTAGGAATACAGGAAGACTAAGGCATGACTTCAAGGCCTATGGGCTAGTAGACAAGGATGGTTTACTGGAGATAATTGACCCACTCTCTTGGCCTTCACAGAGAAGCCTTCTCTCACTTCCCAGATAAGCTCAGATGCTCCAGACATAGACTCCTATAACACTTTGTACTTTGTAATGAAATAATTGTTTTAATTCTTTTCATGTAGTGCCTTTCTCTTTCTACTCAATTGTATGCTCCATGATGCCAGAGACTGACTTTTCCTTCAGGTTTTGTTGGATGACTGAATGAGCTCTCATTTCAGAGTTGAAGAAAGAGATGCCTGTCCTATGTGACTTATCCCAAGACACACATTTTCTGAAATGGTTATAAGTGGAACTCAAGCTTCCAGTTTACCTTACTACAGTATTCTCTGCTCTTTCTACTGTGAAAATTTAAGATCTAGAAAGGAGTTGAGCAATGTCTACAAATAACTATTACAGAGGCAGAATAGGCATACTCCAAGGGGTTATGGAAATTGGAAGGTGAACATAAGTTCTTTTGTCAGGAGCTGGGTGTGGTGGGTACAAACAGGTTTAATGACAGAGGAGACTCTTGAACTGTACACACATGGATACATTTTTTAATAGAAAGTTGTGGAAAATGTCACTCCAACCATAAATAGTATTATTGAAACCTTTAATCCCAATATATTTTTTTAAATCTATAAAATATATATGTTAGCAGGCTAACAATCTTGTCTTATTTCAGTGAACAATGTGGGAGTAGCATATGAGTATCCTGAATTCTTTTTGGACATTCCTGACTTGGACAACGTAAGTCTTTCTTTGTATATTATGATAACAAAAGGAATGCATGCAGGTATTGGGAAGACAGTGTGGTAAAATGGCTCAGACTGTGAGCCCTGGAGTCCAGCTGCCTGAGGTTCAATCCTTGGCCCTTCTACTTGTTACTTGAGTTACTCTGAGGGTGATCTCTACCATACTTTGTGTCCGGTCCTTGCCATACAATAGACTTCCTAAGGGGTTTGAATGAGAAAATATTTATAATGCTTTGTACAGTACCAGGGATAATAATAGCTTTGTTTTAAGTATTAGGATTCCGAACACTAATTTAAAAATCATAAAGTTGTTAATAGACAACAATATACTAGTGATTCAGGTAGACTAGCTCTACCAAAATGAAAGCTGTATCCTTGATGCATGCATAATTCTTAATAAAGACTAAAAGAGGGTATCATTGAAGGACTATGTAAAATTTAAAAAAAATTGTTGAGATCCTTAGTTTCAATCATTTCTCTTTTTTGTATTAGCAGAGAGGAAATTACAAATGGTTCATATTTACTTTAGATTAAGTTTGTCTTTTTGCTTACAGATTTGATTTGCACAGGTACCATGCGTTTTTCAGATTAGCATGAATTGCTTGCTTTTGGTAGAAAAGTACTATAACAATGAGAGTACTAGTAAAATAAAATCTCTCCATCCCAACTCCTGTCATTTCCTGAGACCTCTACTGTTCCCCAGGGAAACTTTCAATGCATCTCCAGATCATTCAGATCACATGTGTATTTTGTGGTTATTTCCATGATCTATATAAAATAATATGTTTTTTTGCAGACCATCAAGAAAATAATAACTGTTAACATTCTTTCTGTTTGTAAGGTAAGCAGCTTCTCAGCCTTTTTTGTCTTTTTTGTTTAAGGACACTGAAATAATCAGCTCGTTCATTTCAGTCAACTCCTCTTTTGATGTATATATGTTTTCCAGATAAGTGGTCTATTTCCTTATGTCTTCAAGAAGTAGAAAGAACTGAATACCAAACTGGTGTCTGTATAATTTTGCTTTTTAATAATGAGACATTAATTAAATGCCTCTATTATATGCAACCCTATGGTAGGCCCAGGGATCAAACAATTTAACTTAGGCTTAAGATTGATTTTTACAAAGTTTTCATCTATATGCAAGTCATCATTGGTAAATTGTTTCCCTTTTATATTTTCTGGTGATACATGTAAGTTAATGAGTTAAATATTGTGGTAAAGTATTGTATGGGAAGTATGGGACGATAAAGAACAATTTTTCTTAGCCACATGTAAAAACAACTCTAGTTTCTAGTTGCTAGGCATGTATTATAGCCTTGTCACTTGTATATGCTGACCAAAGACACCATAGCTAATATATGCTAAAGTGAAGACTAGCAAATTTAAAATCAATTAAAAAGAAAAACATATTTAAAAAAATGAGTGTTAAAATTATGTATATGTTTCATAATATATTATAATGAGTTAATGATGAAAAATATGTTCGAATGTTTAAATTTTATTTTATAGAATTGATGCTAGCTACAAATTAGTCTCCTGATAATTTTAATCCCTCTGTCAAATAAACAATACAAAACTTTATACTAGACACGTTAGTATTTTCTCCTGCTTGTCAGAACTGAACTGAACTGGTGTATACACTTATAGTAAAAACCCTGGCCTACTTGGTCTCACAAAACATGCGTTTTTGGTTGGCATTATACAGAACACTAATGATAAAAGGCCAAGGTCCAGACCTTGATCTGTGAGAACCAGTCAGCTTGCTGTGTTACATGGCCACACACTGCATCCTTCAAGCAGCATCTGAGCACAGATGAGCCTGTGTGGTGGTGGTCACCTCATGTCCCTCCTTAAAGAATGAGCAGTGCAGGGGGCAAATGTGGAGAAAGCAGCTCAAACCCAACAGCACTGTAGAGCACCTTTCAGTTTGTTCAAAATAATGATGAAATAAAAGCGAACCACCAGTCCTAATACCTTGACAAATTATAAAATGCTTCTCCCACCTCTTCATTCTTCCTCTTCCACTTTCTCTTTTTATACTGTCAAATATGCTTGTTCCCATGAAATGAGATAGTGGAGCAAATGCTAAATTATGAAACATACCATATCCTATTATATTGTTGACTAGAGGCCTGGGTGCACAAAATACATGCACAGGTAGTGTCCCTAAGCCTGGCCAGCTATCAGGACTGATTGGGGCCTTCTAGCTGCCAGCCAGAGCTTCCTTTGTTCCACACCATCCCTGGTGCATCATAGTGAGTGATGGAACTTCTGGCCTTTTGGTCTAATTCCTAAGAGGACTCTTTGCATATTAGCCTTTGATATATGTAGATGGGAAGGATCACAAGCAGAACTGGATAAATGCTTAACATTTTTGAATATTAACTCATTTTTTTGCAAATCAAATCTCACTTATGACACTCAGAGCATTTGCCATTTAAAACCCTCTTCATTAAGCCAAATAATCATTCTTTATTTTTAATGTAAGTATGAATTTTCCTGTACCTTAGTGATGCACACTTTATTGGAAAAACCATTTAAAACTATTTAGTTGTCATGGAGTTAATGACATCTGGAGCACAGCCCTTTTTATTGTACTGTAGACAGGGGTCTGAGCAGTTACCATCTCTGCAGCACAGTTGGGTAGTTCAGGTATGAAAGGTTTGGCTCACAGCAGGAGGCGAGTGGTGGGGCAGCTAACCTGAAGGCCAGAAAAGTAAGTTAAGACATGATTTTGCAGCAAAGCTGAGTGCTGTGCTCAAAACGATGGAGAGCCACAGGAGGCTGAAAAGGAGAAATAGGTGTGATCTGATCTACCTTTCAGAAAGGCAGGTCTAGTGGCAGGAGGGACATGGCAATACATATGTTACAATATATGCGTTTGTCTTGCTTATACTGAGAAAAGGGCATTGGCCTTGATGAAGTTTTGTGTGTGGCCTCCCGGATTCAGTGCTCTTTCATGCTGCTGTCATCTGTCCTGTGGTATATTTTGATGAATTGTGCCTATTGTCCTTTTGTTGACTGTGTTATGTTGCCAGGGCCAGGGCTGCATTTTCAGTAGGAATGGTTGTTTGGAGCCCTGGGGTAACTTAAAACAAGATGAGAATTGGTCTGGCTCTAGAATCTTACAAGGTTTTATGGTGGCTGGACATCAGGGGAACTAGGGCATGGATGTCTGCAGCCTAAAGCCACAATAAATACATCAAAAAGGTTTATATAAGAAAGAGAAAATCCTCTTCTCACCACCAGTGTTGGTCAAAGTATTATCTCCTTACCAAACTATGATAGGGGTTGACTGGCTGCAAAGCATGCTGGGAATTTGGAGATGTTTGCTGGTAGGGCCGCAGCATCTTTTAAGTTAGGTGCTATGCACTGAGTGACCTGGCTTTACATTCCTTCAGGCCCAGGATTATTGCTCGGTCCACGTGCTCCTATCCTATGAATAGATCAGGTCATTGTAAAAATCACTGTCATATTCCATTAGAAGAATAATAAAAATGAAATATCTTGACCAAAAGAATTAGAGGTTGTCACCAGCTGAAGTAGTGGTGAGTGGTACAGAAGAATACTGGGAGAGAAATGCCAGCTGAATGCTTTTGCCAATAGATCCTTGATGATGAATCATAGAGTCCAGTTTAGTCCTCTCTCCCAGCCACCAAGCCCTCCAGTTCACTTTTCATCTTACTCAGTAGTTAGGTTTGTTCCCTTTTTTCTCTCTCAGTGACTTACTTAGCTGGGCTTTCTCTTTACCAGGCATGATACTGTTAGTTGAAGCAACCTAAGGGATGTTTAGAAGCCTTGTTGCTTGCTTTCCAATTTTGCTTTCAAATCTTTCAAATCCTGCAGAGCAGGTAAATGCCAAGGTAAGAAGAGCCAGGAGTATGGAAATTCTAGGTGGCCAATATGACAGATAGATTAGCCTTAACCTGGAAGAGAGCCCTACTAGCTGGGGATTTTTCCTTGTGATTTCAGATGGTCTGTGACTAAAGTCCTATATAATAAAAGCCTAATATGCTAAGTGTCTGGTCAGCCATTCAACCAATCAAAGTATAATATGCTCATGATATCTAAGGTCACTCAAACACTCACTGTGCCATGCACGACCATAAGGGGGCAAGATGCTCCAACTGGTAGGTTAGCTTGCTCATGGGGGCTGGCCAATGGGAACTGAACGAGATGGGCCAGACATGCCTTGGAGCCCTCCCTTATTCTTCCCGGGCTGGCCAAGCTCTCTCATCCCTCCCCTGCCCCAATCATGTACCATTGGGGTCCCTCGGCCTGGCCTGTGCCCTCTCACAATCTGGGACCCCTTGGGGGAATGTCAAAGAGCCGGTTTCAGCCCGATCCTGCAGGTCAGGCCAAGGGACCCCTCTGGTGCATGAATTCGTGCAATGGGCCTCTAGTCTAAGATAATGACCTTCAGAGCAGAAATGGTGGAGTTCAGAGGACATTAAACCTCCAGATATTGAACCACACTCTTCTAAAATAGTTCTCATTTCATGCCTGGAGGGCTTTACATCTCAAAGCACAGAGATTTTGCAAATTAAATTGTTGTGCTGCTATTGATTATTAGAGGAATTGTGAAAAAGGAAGAAGTGCCACAACTCCGGAGGCAGGCAAATACAAGTCCAGTCTCCACAGGTAGGATAACGAGCTTCGCACTAATCCAATGACAAGTTTTAAAATAGATCTTGTGTTGCTCGCTTCTGATTTGAGATCACTTGTTTTAGCATTTGCCATAATTGGAGTTGCCATCCTTCCTCCAATTCGTTTTTTTTTTTATTTCTTTAATAACTTTTAAGATCTCAAGACACCATACACTCTTTATCACTTTCAAATAGACACTGCCAAAACTTGCTCCCCAAGGGTGGGAAAATCATTCCTTCTGATGATATTGGACCCAGAAGCTGTTACTGGTTTGGTGAATAAGGTGGATCACAGGGAATGACCTTGGCTAGACTTGAATCCCTTAGGAAATTTTTATCTTACCTTTCTTAGAGCAAAGAAGGAAGTAGGTGAGGGTGTGACCCAAGGTAAAGTTTATTAGTCACCTCCACTTTGAGTGAAGTACCACTGAGTTTGGTTTGCTTTATTTGAGGATGAGGAGGAAGAGTGTTAAGCAGGGGATCAGAATGTAGTTCTTCCTTCATCAGCTATTCAACCAGAGTGGGAACTTGAAACTATTTTTTATTAGGAATTGTTGGAAGAACTAGAGATGTTCAGAGTGAAGAAAGGAAACATGCATCTCTCTCTCTCTCTCTCTCTCTCTCTCTCTCTCTCTCTCTCTCTCTCTCACGCACACACACACACACACACACAAACACACACCATCAAGGCCAGTTCTACCTCCTATTTTGCAAATCAACTTTTCTTCCCGAGTAATACTTCCCAGATTCCAAGCCGTGAAATTTCTCAGCTAGAATTACTGGAGTAGCCTTGTCTTCTTCTTAGTCTCCATATTCTAGCCAAAGTGCTATTTACATCAGATTGGGTTGTACCCCTGTTAAATCCTTCAGCAACTTCTCCTTTTCCTCAAGTCCAAATCTTGAATGTGACCTACAGACAGGGAAGGATTCACCTGACTTGGTCCCTGCTCACCTCCCCAGTTTCCCTTCAGATCTCTCCGCCTCCAACTGTGCTCAGGTCAGAGCACCTTCATTCAGGCCTTTGAACCAAATGTTCCTTCAGGCTGGTCTCTCTCTATGGAAGTCTCCCTTGTCCAGACTTCACTAATTCTACTCATCCTTTAGTTCTCAATTAAAGTTTATGCACTTGGAGGTGGGACTGGGGTAGTGAGCCTTCCTGATCCCTCCAGAAGAGACAAGGGGTCTCAGGCAGTTTCAGCACACACCGCCTGTCTTCTCTCAGCTTTTCACTTTTGGTTGAGTGTCTCCCTACAGACTGTGAATAGCATGAGGACTGGTACCATGTCCTTTTTTTTCTTTCCATTTCTGAGCCCCAAGCCTCAAATGTGGTGGGTATAAAATGAATGCTTTTTGAATTAAAATAAAAGAATGAATGAAAAAAATAAAAATGCTAATTCTTTGGGGATAAGGATCACAATTACTGTATGGGACCCTAGAAGGGTGAACTTGGATCAGTTGTTGATATTTACACAGAGTAAATTATAAGAACTTCCTAATCTTTGAATCTGCCAGAAGGGGAATGGGCAGACGGTAAGTTCCTTTTCCGATTCTAGGTCAGAAGTTGCAAACCAGTAATCTGCGGGCTGAATGTGCCCTACCAACATACTTCAGTTGGCTTAAGCAGTGTTTTCAAAACTGGGACATTTCATACCCACACTTCTAGCTTCTCTTGGGAAAAATCTGAAAATCAGGAAACACCGAGCTGAACTGCTGAGTGGCAACAAGTGATTAGAGCTGAGTGGCAACAAGTGATTAAGCTGAGTAGCAGCTAATTATGCTAAATAGTTAGGCTTGCAATCTCCAGATTTCCACAGTCCCCACTAGTCTCTATTGTCTGATTTGCTGTACTAGTGATGTTATGTACCTGGCCCTTTTAGGCATTTGGGTTTGCATTCCCCTGTTCAGAGAATTCCAGACATTCAGTCTATACAAACTGCAGAACTGCTTAGTGATGTTGAGAGATTAGAATGGTTTTGACTAAATAAATTTCTTCCATCTCTATGATCATCAGAAATTAAGGCACTTGAGTATTTGAAAAGCTAACTTTTTCCTTCTGATACCACTATGTACTTGTGGTATGTTACTCAGCTGGAAGAAGATAATGCTGTGCCCTATCTGTTGGTGATAAATGTTTGAATAGGGGGAGTGGGGTGCAGATGGATGAAAAGCACAGGTGAAGCATTTGTTTCCTTTTTCTTACGTGGATTTGCCTCGGGCTGTGACATGGTACCAGTAGGGGGAGCTCTCTATTAATTTGGAAATCCCTGAGAAGAATCTGTTGAGCATTCTAATTGTATTTAATTTAGGAATTATGCTAAGAATTTATCCCCCACCCTGCCCCAAGAATTCAAGTTAACAACATTAGGAAATTAATAAATTACAGGAAGGTGAGTTTGGCCTTCACCACTGAACCCCACCCAGGGCTTCTCTAGATGAAGACTTTACAAGTTACTACCCAGAATGCTTTAGTGCATTTGAAAGCAGCTGTCATTATGCTCCTCCATTTTCTCAATGACTGGGGACATTTAGCCATGGGGTCTCATAGTAATGGGCTGTTCCAAGCACAACTACAAAATATTGGGTTTGCAAAATTGAATGACAACTGCTGTTTCAATAGTTTTCATCTTAAAAAAAACAAAAACAGAGTAGTTGCTGGTTGATTCTAAGGTTCTTTCTAGCTTGAGTAAAGCTAGTAAAGAAGAAGTTTCTTACATGTGGGTGAAAATGTAAAGATCTCTTTGAGAACTTTAGGGATTCTTTTCTCCTAAAATCTGTCACTTTTTAAGAAGTCTGCTTATTTTGGGAAAATTTAAGTGATGGAAACTTTTAGCATGTTATAGTATGCTAACTTTAGAAAAAACAGTCTAGGATGATATGTGTTTTTTTATTTTAAATTTTTGACAGTTTATAAGTTATGGCTTTAGATTCATTAATAATTGACACATTATTATTTCCAAAGCCCTCTGTTTTTGGAAAGCTCTTTTACTTTTGTTACATTATTTTAGCATATATCAAACCATAATTTTTTACAAAATATTTGGGTTTTATGGCGTTGGGTTGAATTTCAGGTTAAGTCATGCGGGTGGGAGGAAATGGCAAGGAAGACTCTTACCTTCCACAAAGATTTAAACATTAATAAAGAAGAAAATCAAATAGTATGTAGAGATCTCAGAGCACACTCTAAACTTTACCTAATGAAGCTTTCATCCCCTGCACAGTAAATATTCAGTTAGCCATACAGGTTAAATTGTAAGGGTTTCTAATTAAGTTCTATTCTTGGTAACACAGAGCACAAATTATACAGTTTTCCAAAGGAAATGTGTGCTATTTTATTCTAATATGACTTCCAATTGAGTTACCATCTAATTTCTCCAAAACAGGCATTATGCAACAGTTTTGCTGCTTCATATAATTCTTTTCATTGTTATGCTATGGCTTTTAAAATTATTGTTAATGATACCAATTGAGAACTTGCTTAAAGCATTTGTATTATTTTTCTTCTAATTTGTGTGAGCTCATTTTTCAGTTGCTTAAATTAAGATCCTGTTTACTCCAAGCAGGTTACTCTGGGATAGAGGGCAGGGCAAAATTGAACAAAGTGGCTACTAGTATTTGTGGTGTCCTAATTATTGTGTGAATAGCCTGGATTCTAAAACAAGTTGTTATACTTTATTTCTTATCCTATATAATAAAAGGCTAATATGCAAATTGACTGAACGGTGGAAGGAATGATCACTGTGGCACACACTGACCACCAGCAGGCAGACGCTCAATGCAGGAACTGCCCCCCTGGTGGTCAGTGTACTCCCACAGTGGGAGCACTGCTCAGCCAGAAGCTGGACTCAGGGCTGGTGAGCACAGCAGTGATGGCGGGAGCCTCTCCTGCTAAGGACCCCCTCATTCTGCACCCCCCCCCCCCTTCCTGATGTCCATCTGGGGGTCTGCACCCTTTTGCTTGGACACCTCTCCCCCACCCCAAGTACATGAATGTTTTGCTCTGGGCCTCTAGTTTACATAAATGGTGATATAGGTGACAATATATGTCTTCTTATTTTACTAAATTATCTTGAATTTTAATGTTTTCATTTGAAATTTGGTTGTCTTTCTGAGATTTATGAAATAGTGTTTCCTTTGTACTGCTCTCTCCCCAAAATGACCAAGTGCTAGGGGTTACATAATACAAAAATAATTTGCTTGCAAAAAAATGGTGATATCTAGGAGTTGAGAATTCATGTTTTAACCTCAGAGCTTTATTATGTGGCCTTGACTAAGCCAGTGAATATCTTAATTTCCTTAGTTAATCATGACTTACTAAATAAAACAGTTTACAAATGGTCTCTGTCATCATCTTCTCTGTATATAGTAAACAGTTATGAAGTCCTTTAATAATGCACGTATTGTTTTTCCATTATTGGTTACTTGAGATCACAAATTAACCTCAACTTTCTCTAAGGATGAGTTTCAATCATAGCTGACTAGAGCAACAAGAGAAATGAATGCGAAGAAGTCCTTATTATTTGCCAACATGCCATTCTTTGGCCTTCTTCTAAAGGCTTTTTTGAAGGGGAAGATCATTTGAGCCTTTGAGATGAGAAAGCTTAAGCAATCTTGTAGGCACATTGTTTCTTGTGATAACCCTTGTCCTTTTCTGCGAATGCATTTTGAGATACTTAGATTTCACTGTAAATCTTTAATTATTTGAAGATCTTCGTGCCAGTATTAACATATCAGGTAAGAATAATTTTAGCCAAGTTCACTGAAAGTATTCCCAGTGTTCTCTCCGGTAATTTCATCTGATTCCTTTTCTTGGCACCTATCACATAGAATCTATAAAATAGAGGTGCTGTCTGTAGAGATGGTGAGCGGCTTTGTGATTCCCTTCTTGTTTGCATGGGTGGGTTCTTTTCACTTTTTCTCTGCTGCATTCCCAGCTGTCACAAATGTTTTGTTTTTCTCTTTTGCAGATGACACGCTTAGTGCTGCCTGGCATGGTAGAAAGGTGAGTCACGAGCTCACGCTCCAAACTGGAGAGACAGAGCTCATGGTTATTTATAGGGAGAATCCTTTCTTTGAAAAAAATTCACTAAAGTGACTAATGAACCTCTCCTCCATGTCTTAGTGACAGTAATGAGTCACAGGGCGAAGTGTGAGTCATCTGGTGGGGGAGGCTTTTTCCACTCGATTCCCTTTTCATTCCCCTCTCCAGGGTTGCAGTGGTTCCTTTAGATCTGGATAAAAAGTCTGCCTGAGTCACCAACACTAACTCAATTGCCTGCTGTTCTGAGGGGGTGGATAGAGTTCCTGGGATATCCCGGGGAATCCCCTCTCAGAGCTGTGTGCTCTCAGAGCCCAAACCAGTGGAGTTTCATGAAGGGAGGCCCATTCCTCTGGTTTTCCTGGGAGCATGGGTATATGAGGAACCTGGGCTATGAAGTGATTATAAGATGTCAGCCCCATCCTGGGAGGAAAAAGACTATGTCCACTAGCCTCGCTGTTCCACTTTATATTGAGTTCCACTAGAACGTGCTGGATGTCTTCGTTTTTTATTGAGAAACGTGTTGTTGAGTTCTTACATTTGAAATAGCATGAAGTGTCAAATTGTGATGAAACTTTGTTCTTGCCTTGGAAAAGCCTGAAGGATGGCTTAGACCTTCAAAGAAAACTCGTTGAAAAGAGCTGGGCTTGCATCTTGAGCTAGCTTGCTCATTTGCTAAATTTAGGGCTTCATAGTCATCCTTCCTCTGCAAAATAGCTTTGAGTTTAAAAGACCCTTTAAAGGAATCACAGCTTTGAAAAGGGAAGACGTAGGACCCTACCTCTGTGAAGAAACCTCTGCAACCAGCTTCAGGCAGGGATTACAGCTAATGTTTATTGAGTATATACCCCGTTTCTCCGAAAATAAGACAGTGTCTTATATTAATTTTTTCTCCCAAAGTTGTGCTACGTCTTATTTTCAGGGGATGTCTTATTTTTCCATGCGCTAGGTCTTATTTTCGGAGGATGTCTTATTTTCGGGGAAACACAGGTATTATGTGCCAGGTGTTGTACCAAGAGCATGCTCTATGTTAACTCCTTTAACCTTGATAGCCTCCCACCATTGCACAGATGAGGAAACTGAGGTTAGGAATCCATTTTATTTGGCATCTGTAGAGACCGGTTCAGAAACTGCTTCTAGTTTCTTTCTTCTAAGGTTCTTTGTTTGTAATTCCATTTTATATGTAGTTTTTTATATTTTAATAGCTTGTTTTTAGACAAATTTCCCTTTAAAATCTTCAAGCTGCTTATTGTTGGTTGACCATGGGTGTGTGTCCCCCTGGTGGTCAGATATGAAAGGGACAGTAGTCAAACCAGACAAGAACCTTAAAAAACTGCAGAGAATTAGGGCAGACAGAATAGAACTTGGGAGGGATGAAATTTGGGCCACCATCTTAGTCTTACTTTGGCATTTGCAAGTGATATGATATTAATTCAGAATGGGAAGTTTCTCCTTAAAAAAGAAAGACTCTCATACTTATAAATCACAGCAGGTATCATAAAAAGCATTTTTAGTGTGTTGGTGAAAAACTAAATTAAAAAAACACCATTGTGATATCTTTGCATATCATAAAATATTAGACTCTAAGAGTCATGGAATTTCAGTACTTTAAGTTAAATGAGTGCTATGAAGCTACATATTTAGTAACTGCACTAGGCCCTAGGAACTTCACTCCTATCTCTGTAGACCTCACAGTCATATCACAGTTATAGTTGGAGCATTAGATAAAAATAAAGAATGCAAAGAAAAGGATCTATCCATTCAACAGGCAGGCATTAAATAAATTTTATCATGGAGTACACAGAAAAGTCATTGGATCCTTGCCTTCAAGAAATCAAGTTGATTTTAAGTTGAGGTTGAGAAATGATCTGGCAAAAGCCATCATAGGCTGGACTGAAACTGGCATCATGGGGGTGATTGTGGCACTTGTTAACTACATAAACTAGTGGATTTTATGAAACAGCTCTTTTAGTTAGGGAGAATAACAGCTATATTCACTTGAGTTAAAAGAGTTGAATTAGTTGAATTAGTCCAGGTAGGCTAACTACTATAACAGACCACCCCCAAATCTCAGTGGTTTAACACCAGAATAGTTGATTTTTCCCTTGCAGCAAAGCCAATATGAATTAGTGGTCAGGGCTCTGCTCTACCCAGTTACTCAGGGTCTCAGGCTCCTTCCATCTAGGGCCTCCCCTCTTCTTCCCTTGGGCCTTGCAGTTCTCTAATGAGTCCTCTGGATCCAGCTAACAGATGAGGTAAGAGAATAAAAGTGGTTTTATGGAGGCTTCATGGGCCAGGCCTGGAAGTGCTGTAATCAGCTCTGCCCACATTCCATTGTCCAGAACTCAGTCAGAGGCTGTGTGCCCAAGAGGAAAGAAAAACTCAAATTTATCAGCTCATCTGATAAGCCTCATACATTATAAGTGATTATTTTATAACCTGCACTTTACACTGTCCCCAAATGGCATATTTCCTATGCTTGGTTACCACTGGATTTGTATCTACATTGAGTAAAAGCAGAGTCTTGTATAAAGATCCTTTGTTGTTGTTTTTCCCCCTTGCACTGATTCTGTCTCTGATGTATGAGATTTTCCAAACCCTGTAGAACTATAGCCGAAGGCCAACTGACCATCACTAAACAAATATCTGCAATCAAACCAAGGTATTATATTACCAGAGAGGTAGAAAGTGCATAATTGCATTATAGAGGAAATTTGCTCTTTCCACTTCCCTGGAATTATAAACATCGTGTACAGCTGGAGCCAGGAGGTGGTTGCCATAACAACCATGGAAAAGCTAAAAATAGCTTCTTTCATACTGTATTGCTTAAGGTGGAATTATGACATGTTATGGTGTTTTAGGACAGGCAGTTCTCTTTTGTGTGGTAAGTGTTTGCAAACTTTCTTCAACAAAGAAATATTTGTACACTGCTCTTAGATTGCTAGTTCTAATTATCTACCTGACCCCCATGTTCCAAGATTCTCTTCTGGCCTAGAACTATTTTGATATGTTTCTCGGTCTTCTTGAGAGCCTGTTTAGAGAACTGTCTGTACCAAGTTCAGTTTTCTGTTCAAGCTTAGAAATGAAAGCAGTGACCCTCCAAGAGCACACTTAGACATGGGAATATGAGTAATTGTGACAGTCTTTTTTTACAGTCTCCCTTGACTGCCATCAAACTCTACATGCAGTGAGCCGTCCACATTAGGGTTGACCATGCTCCGTTTCTTCATAGCAGCAATTACGTCCCACCTCTCTCTCCTCACCTGCAGTGTGGGGCAGTGAGGAGGTTCCCGAGGAAGACAGAAATCGGTGACTTACTTCAGAGGAGACCTATCACTTCCTCTGTGACAGTAGTCTTTTCCTAGAACTATGGTTAAGGTTACTACAACAGACTGATGGAATAGTGGGGCATGTGCAGAAGAATAAAGGATTGACATTTTTAAAATCCAGGTGACAACGGAGGAGAGTGCTGTGATTGGGAATTCTATCCATAGGAAGCTATGAATGCACGATGTTGAGTTTTATAGGGTTGGGCTAGTTGAACATTTCACTTGTGAGAAGGGCTAGTAATTGAAGAGAACATGCTTATGGGAAAAAAGGTGCTTCCTTATCAGCAATTGTGTTCTCTGCTCTGCTTCTGCAGCACTTTAGTTCTAGTAGAGCCTCAGTGACTTGCACCACTGAGACACCGTCATGTGGCTGTTAGCAAGTAAGAAGCGAGATGCACTAAGGATATTGTATCAGAAAATACTACCTGACTTGTTTATTAGAATTATTTGTCATAACAAACTGGAAATGCGCTGAAGCAATGTGAGTCTTCATTATGAACTTCAGCAAATATTCTTAATGTACCTTCCGATCCATCTTAGAATTGTTCCCCAAGTTCCCGGAAAACGAGAGATTAACCAGGGCTTGGTTTTATGTTTGTTTCTGTGTGCTATTAAGTGCAGCCCATTTTGTCCTTCTGCTTGATATAACAGAGCTGTCATGAGCCTGGCTGTGCCATGGAAACTGGCTTGACGTCACTAATTCTGCTTAGAGGATTAGAGCTCAACAAAGTAGTTGGTTTTAAAGCCCAGTCCTCTATGCCTTGCACTCCCAAATGTTCACCCCCCATCTCTGCATAAAGAACAGGTCCTGTATACAGTACAAGGATTGAGGCAGCTAGAGCAGTGTGTTATTTATGATTCAAACAAAACTAAGGTGAATATGATTATCTTTAGAGAGACAGAGAGGGGTTTTTGTACAGTCTTGTGTGTTGGTGTGGGAGGAAGGCTCTTGCTGGACAAACAAATCCTTGTGCTTCTTGGTAGCACGGAGTTTTTGTAGAAGGGGTATTTTCCCCGCTGCCATTTTTGTAGGGTTATAAATGCTTTCCTTTTATAAATGCACTTAGGTCTAGTGCATTCTCGTTTTATATTTGCTTGGTCTTAGACTTGTTTTGATGTATTTTGGAGTGCAAATATTGTGTTGTGAATAAAGCACCCTCAAATTCTGACTTTTCACTAATTCAAACTAACTCTGCCTCCTGGAAATTTTAATTAGGGTGGAATATTTGAGAAACCAAAATCTCGGTTGACTCAAGGAGTAAACAGTTAAAGAAGCGCAAGTGCATGATTGTGACCTACTTGATTATTGGTCTATTGTATTGGAAAACAAGAAAGAAGTTTTTGTTATCGTTAAGTGAATTTTCCTATACTGAAATCATTGCTTTGGTGAATGAAGTTTTAATAGGCCATTCTAGTGAGAACTTAGCACTCTTTTAGCTTCCACTTCCTTGGGATCTGCTTTGAGCTTAAAGATGGCACCTTCCATATATCATAAATATACAATACATGTTCTCTCTCTTCTTTACATATGTATTGAGATACATTTCACATACTATAAAATTCACTCATTTATAAAGTGTATAATTTGGTGGTTTCTAGTATATTCACAAAGCTATGAGGCCATCACTGCAACCTAGTTTCAGAATATTTCAACACTGAAAAGATAAAGATATTTTAAGCATCATAAATTGATGCTATATTAAACACCTCCAGCTGTAGAAGTGATTTTTAGACTACGTTGATCAAAGGAATTTCTCATAAATATAGATAAAATGAAGTTACTAGTCATTGCTAATTCACGTGTTTTTATCTTTTAATGATTGGCTTCTAACTCCCGCTAGAAACTCTTACACTCTTACCTTAACATTGAAAAGAAAAGGCTTTTCTTTCTGTCTCTGTCAGAGAAACAAGCAAAAAGTACATTAGAGGAAATATAGTCACTAATACTGTAATAAGTATGTATGGTGCCAGATGGGTACTGGAAATATTGAGGGGAACACTTTGTAAAGTTTATGATTATCTAATTACTATGCTATCCACCTGAAACTAATACAATATAATATCGGATTTTTAAAAATACAAAAAATTATATAATTAAAACATGGACTAAATTCCAACTTTTTTCAAAACCCCAATATGACATTTTCAAATTTGAGATTTGATTTCTGATGCTAAAATGTTCATGGATTTCATTATTTAGGAAAGTTTGGATTACAGATAAGGACTTCAATTAAAAAACACACAAAAACAAACTTGTTTCCAATGACCCATTAAGCTGAGGATCCAGACTCGATTTGACGGTTGATGTGGCATCTTGCCCAGAGGCTGGCAGATGCACTAGGTGAACTTTTGGGATTATTTCCTTTCAGATTTATGTCTAATATAATGCCACGTAATCATGTTTCTCTTATTATTTTGTATTAAAAAGACCTATCTAGTCCCTTCTTTTAATATTGAAAAAAAATAGTCTGGCTGGTGTTGCTCAGTGGTTGAGCATTGACCCATGAACCAGAAGGTCAGGATTTGATTTCCAATCAGGCACATGCCCGGCTTTTGGGCTTGATCCCCAGCAGAGGACATGCAGGAGGCAGCCAATCAATTAGTCCCTCTCATCATTGATGTTTCTTTCTCTTCCTCCTCCCATCCTCTCTGAAAACAAAAATGTAAGGAAAAACAGATTTTGGGGGAAGTAAATTCAGACAAAGAATAATGAGAAACTGGGTTGAAAGAAAGGAACGTTATCTAGAGGACAGGAGATGGGTGAGGTCAGGTTGCCATAGCTAAAAAAGGGGCCCAACCCCAATGAGAAGAATGGATTTGAGGGGGGACGAGTTGGTTGTTAAATCTAAAATTCCCCAAACCCTCATTCCACACTTTATCTAGCCTATACATGCTTGCTAACAACACATATATTCACAGTATTGCTTTCCTCAAACTACGTTCATTTATTTGTAGAATTAGTAACTCCTGATAACTTTCCGACTTTTAACTTTAAGTAGTCTCTAAAAGTAACAATAGAGTTTTTCAAGCTTTGTCTTTGGCTAAAGAATATGGTTTGAGGAGCTATAGTATCGCATGTTAGAATCAACTCTTCATTTAGCACATGAATACCTAGGGAGGTAGGAGGGCAGGACCTGTCACTCACTTCCAGGTTTTATTACGTACTGTTACATGCTCAGACTGTGCTGAATGTTTTGAGGAAAAGTGAGGACAAAGGCTATGATGCCCAGGAGCTTACGGTTTTGTTGAAGGAGAGAAATATGTGTGCACATAAAATGTTTAAATACTATAGCAAGGGAGTATGTGATGATATGCTAAAAAAAAAATAAAAAAAAAATGCAAGGAGAATAAGAGTGTTTCTAAAGTGAGAATTCTTGGTGCTACGGGCAGAGAAGGCCTCAGAAGGTGGAGATCAACTCCAGGACACTATAGATCTGATCAGGTCATGCCCCAGATTACTAAGACTCAGAAATTAGCTAATTGCAAATAAGAGATATTTTTAGTTGGTTGAGTTATGCCTCACTCACTGACCAAACATATCACATGCTGATGATAGGCAAGGAAAGATGTGTGTTAGAAAAACAGCTAGGTCGTTCTGTTTCAAACCTGTATCTCCATCTATAATTTACAAACAGTTGTGTGTATGATTTCATTTTGTTTATGGAACATTTTCCTTTATAGATCTAAAGGCGTGATTCTGAACATCTCCTCCGCCAGTGGCATGTATCCGGTTCCACTGCTGACCATCTACTCTGCAACCAAGGTGAATAATTTTTTAGTAAATCGTGTTGGAATGAGAATGAAGAATTATTTTTATTCTCAGTTTTCAAATGGAATGAGAAGAAAAGGAAAATATCCTACAATGGTTTCAGGGGAGGCAAAGCCAATGAGAACCGATTGGTATAAACTTTATAAACAGGATACCAAGATCTCAGATCCACAGATGGTATTTTTCCTCCCACTAAATTACTGCTCTTAAAATTGATTTTGAACTTTCCAGAGAAAGTTGGCCTAGGCCAGATAGCTCAGTCGATCAGAACATAATGTTAATGAATCTAAGATTGGGGATTTGATTGATGAATAAGTCACCTTCATATAGCATCAGTTCAAGTAAGCAGAGCTGAGTAGAAGGATTGCAGCCAGTCAGCACTTAAATACACATAGTAAGCACAAGATAGACTGTATTTTGATACATTATTCAGAATTCACAGATATTTCTTGGCACTATGGAATGAGAGAATTTTACAGAACTTTGTGTAAGATGTCATAATTTTATATACCACCATTCACCTCTTCATGTTACTAGGAAGATAATTTAGAATGCATTTCCAGCTGCCTGCAGGTCAATTTGCATATACATTGCATATACATTGTGGAGGCGTAGGATACATCTCTGAAATGGATATGTCTGCTGTGAGGTGCTGAGGTGCTGAAATTAAATAAGCTTTTAGGGGTGAATGAGCAAAATATAATACACTAGAGGCTCAGTGCATGAAATTTTGCACTGTGGCGCGGGCGGGGGGGGGGGGGGAGAGGGGGGTCCCCTCAGTCCAGCCTGTGCTCTCTCACAGTCTGGGAGCCTTCGAGGGATGTCTGACTGACAGCTTAGGCCCCCTCTCCTAAGCCAGCAGTCAGACATTTTTAGTGCTACTGCGGAGTTGAGAGAGGCTCCCACCATTGCTGCTGCTCTTGCCAGCCATGAGCCTGGCCTCTGGCTGAGTAGTGCTACCTCTGCAGAAGTGCACTGACCACCATGGGTCAGCTCCTGCATTGAGCGTCTGCCCCCTGGTGGTCATAGCGAAAGGCTGAGTGGCCTTAGCATATCATTAGCATATTATGCTTTGATTGATTGACCAAACTATCAGACACTTAACATATTAAGCTTTTATTATGTAGGATAATAAGAACTCATCATAGATCAGGGAAGGAAAAGAGCAATACGCCTTCCTTCCTTTTCACTGGCTTTATGTCCACTGGAAAAACATAAACAGCAACTCTATTTTCTTTGCAATCTACTTGTTTTCTGTGGCTCTGAAACACACAGTAGACATGTGATAGTGAGTGCCGGGTGTTTGGAAGTGATCAGTGAACTCCAACTGCTTACCTGTTCTGCTCCATGGACACAAGACTAATTATTGGGATTCTAGTAGAGTCATTATTGAGACTTTGCATTTTAAGCCCGAGGTTGAGTTCACATTTGAAAAATGGCCCTGTACATTGCATTTCACAGGTAGATTTAAAGTTGTGCTGTTACAAGAAGATGAGCTGTCAGGTTCATCTCTACATTTCCTGAACCCCACAGGGCCAAGAGGATGCTTGTTCTTTTCTTCTCTTTATTGACAACAAAATCCCCATAGAACAGAGTTGAACAGAATTTATATTGTATTTCTGTTCAAATGGCAAGTAGGGAGTAGGACTGCATCCTTTGTTGTATAATCAAACATTTCTTCTTTCTGAAAAAAGAAAAGAGCCTTTTCCAGTTAAGTCAAAATTTGATCTAAATATTATATTTGGTGAGAGAATAATTTAGTGGCAGGTAAAAATGACTTGAGGGCTTGAGGTGTTTGTCTGAGGTCTCTTCTGCATTCTTTTTGAAATAAAAAGAATGATTAGAAGCTATAGTGTTAACTGGGATAGTTTATTATTTTTGTTTCCATGGCTGCAAATCAGACAGATTGATCTGATGTGATGTGATGTGTGTTTTCTTCTCACTCCCACCCCCTCCCAGGCTTTTGTAGATTTCTTCTCTCAGTGCATCCATGAGGAATATAAGAGCAAGGGCATCTTTGTGCAGGTGAGTAGAGTTTGTTTCAGTTAAGTATTCTTGTTTTTGTGTGGTTTCCACAGCAACTATTGCTGTCCTGGTAACGAAAGAAAATCACATTCCTAAGTAAGTGAATGTGATGTTAGCACACGATTAAAGACGTGGGTTTTTTGTTTTTTGTTTTTTCCTTTATGCACTTCAAATATAAATTAAAAAAAATATATTCCTTAAAATTTTTAAGTCGGGAAACCAGGAGTAGAACTACATGCAGTGTAAACAGTTGAAGAATAAATAATTATTGTAAGTTCTTAGGATTTTATTTAGAGAGAATTAGACTATTAATATCTCTTAGCTGCCAGGTATATAAGGTGTGCCCTGACTGTTCCAATGCCTTGTGTAATAACCACAAGAGAGGGTCAAGAGCTGAACAAAATTGATTTTTATTAGAGCAAAGATGACAGTAAACATCCGGGTGATGTAGATATAGTAGTGATTTTTAACAGTTTAAAAATTGTGGTAAAATATACGTAACAGAAAACACCATTTACCAGTTTTTAAGTATTTAGTTTAGTGGCATTAAATACATTCGCATCATTGGGTAAACATCACCACCATCATCTCCAGAATTTTTTTCATCTTCCCAAAATGAAACTGTACCCATTAAACATATAGTCTCCATTTCCTTTCCCCTCCCCCACTTCTCCCCAGCTCCTGCCAGGCACCATTCTACTTTCTGTCTCTCTGAATTTGACTACGCTACATACTTCATATGAGTAGAATCATACAGTATTTGTCCTTTTAGGACTGGCTTTTTTCACTTAGCATAGTGTCTTCAAGGTTCATCCGTGTTGCAGCAGGTGTCAGAATTTCCTTGTTAAAGCTGAATAATATTCCACTGTATGGATGTACCACATCGTGTTCATCTATTCATTTGACTTTATTTTTCCCTAGTAATGATGAATTATGTAACTTCATTGATCATTGCCTTCCTTCATATGAATTCATTCAGGGTTTAAACTTGGAATGAGTTTGGTGAAAATATAAAATTTCAGATGTTGGTGAGGGGAAGTACAGGTGTCATTTCTGTGTGAACATATCAGAACGCTGAAGTCTCATGTTAGTTCTGACCAGAGGGACAAAACAATGTGCCCTCTATATACGACACTCGGTTAAAAACGATTGGCTTTCTCTGGTAGTGTTTTCTGTTGGCACATTTTTTGGACTAGGAGTCTTTCCTGTCCACTCCATCCCATGTGCCATTTCCTGGTGATATTGTTAAAATACCACACAGGCAAGGTTGCTTTCATTGGTGGTCTTCTAGTGGATGCTCAACACGTTTTGGACTGAACTGAAATTCCCCTCAACTTCTTTCCCATAATTCCATAAGAGAATTTAAAATTTCCTTCAGAATTCAGATTTGCTGTTATGGGGGCATTTCCTGGAAATGCAAATAAACCATAGTGACTGAGTGATATCAAGGCCCTCGGGGTGAAGTTTGGGCCTGACAGACCCTGTCCAATAGAGGGTAAGAAGTGTCTTTTCATAAACCTCATCAAAAGTGTACTCTTTTGATGAAAACTATCTGTCCTCATTATTGCCCTGCATTAAAGCATAGTCCAAATTATGTTTAACTTGTTGAAAGAGCATAATCAGAAGTAGCCTGATTGGCTAGTTGGTGGACACCTCTGTGTGCCCTGCACTGGCCATTTATGCTGAGCAGGTAGGGAAGAGCTGACACTAGGATGACATCCTAAAACTTTACTTTTTGAATTCATTCTGTAAAACTTTCAGAAGCCTTGTTTTTCAAAAAATGTTTTATTTGGAAATAATTTCAAATCTACAGAAAAATTGCAAGAATAAGAATAATACAAGGAATATCCAAATGCCCTTTCCTCAGATTCAGTCACTGTTAACATTTTACTCCATTTATTTTATCATTGGTAAATGAGTTGCATACATCATGGTTCTTTACCTCTAAATACTTGAGTGTATATTTCCAAAAATAAGGAGATTCTTTTATATAACCACAATACAGCTACCAACTTCAGTGTTAACACGGGATATAATATTTTTATTTATTTATTTTTTACCTTAAAAAAAAAAAATATATATATATATATATATATATATATATATATATATATATATATATATATTAGTGATTTTTTACAGAGAGGAAGGGATAGGGATAGAAAGTTGGGAACATCAGTGAGAGAGAAACATCAATCAGCTGCCTCCTGCACACCCCCTACTGGGGATGTGCACGCAACCAAGGTACATGCCCTTGACTGGAATCGAACCTGGGACCCTTCAGTCTGTAGGCCAATGCCCTGTCCACTAAGCCAAACCTGTTAGGGCATGGATATAATATTTTTATCTAGTTTGCCACTTACACTCCCAATTTGTAATCCCCATATTTTTATAGCAGCTTTTATCTCCAGTAAATAATTCAGTCTTGGACCAGGTATTATATAGTTGCCCTGCCTCTTTAGTGTCTTTTAACCTGGAATACACCCACAGCCTTTGACTTTTATGACATTGGCATTTTTTATGAATACAGTACTCCTGCTTTTTTTTTTAACTGAACAGATCCTGAAATGGCAAATGAATACAGAGTTGAGGGCAAAAACTTCCCCCATGTGCCTCATAGAAACTGCAGCCTCTGCCTTAAGAATATGTGCCTATTAAGACTAGTGAATTTAATGCTCATAAAAGACAGATTAAACACCATGTCTAAACTCCATATTGTGCAAATAGACGAGCCTGGATCCATGTGTTTCAAAGCATGATTGTGAATTGTTCTGGTTATTTTTAAATGTGAGAAGGTGTGAGTAGTACTCATGGCTGCGTGACAGATGTTCTCCATGTGAAGTTATGAGATCCAGTGTTGAATTCTTAAATACCGGCCATGCAGCATGGGACGTCCATCCTTCCACTGCCCCATGACATTGCATTGTAGTAGCTTTTGGTTCCTAATTTAGGTCCCTTGAGTTGTTTCATTAAAACCAGATACCTAAGCCAGCTGCTCCAGTGTGTGAGAAAAAAAGACCAAGTTGTCTCCAGGGATTTTTTTTTTTTTTAATAGGCTGGCAAAGACCAAACTTCAGCTTTGCTTTGTGGCTGAGTTAATTATTTTCAGTTCAGGATTCCGAATTTGAAGACCAGGGCACTTGCCCAAATCTATAACTATAAAGATCTAGTCTGTTTCAGCTGGCAGTATTTAAAATGGCAATTGTTGAGCTTAAGCAACTTTTAACATTTGCTCTGCCTGACATACTTCATATGAAAATATAAGTATCTTCTTGACCTGGTCACTGTAATGTTTCCCTGAGTAAGCAGGAAAGGTGGGTTAATTATTGCTTATTGTTTTTTTTGTTGTTTGTTTAACTGAAGGATGTACCTAGATGGCAGGTATTTATTTTACATAATCTGAAATGTTACATAGTACCCAGGTAGTGTGCCTTTGTTTAAATGGGTGATCTTGCTTAAGCTCAGGCATATCTAAAATTGTGGCTTATACTCTGTTACATTGTCAGCCTCCTGGTGTAAATGGCTTCTCGGATTGCAGCAGGGGAAAGGCCCAGGCTTCCTTCAGTGCCGCATAGCGGAATGTTCTACTGCCGATTCCTTTAGTAACTCCTCTTTGTGCTTCTGCTCCGTTCTAGGTACCGTTCTAAGCATTGGCAGTATAGTGGCTTGTACTCCATATTGTGCAAATAGACGAGCCTGGATCCATGAGTACTACTCACACCTTCTCACATTTAAAAATAACCAGAACAATTCACAACCATGCTTTGTTCTTAGAGTTCACACTCTGGCAGTCAGTACTGTCCAGTGACTGGATTTCGTTTTCTGTGCTGCTCAGCCTTCCTCCTGCCACTGCCTCACATGCACCTTATAGATGGACCATACTGAACCGCTTACGCTACTCTGAGGACATTGCACTTCCTGTGCTCTTGCTGGACCTTCCACTTCGTTTAAGTCTCAGCTCAAAAGTTATTTCCTCTCAGACTCCCTCCTTCCTCTACCAGGCCATGTTAAGCGCCTTGATTTGAAACCATTGTGGAGATAATTGAATGCTCTTTCCAGAATAGAATGTACACTTAGCTTGTCTCCTTTCTTCCACCTCCAGATGAATTAGCTGAGTGAGGAGTTGACTTATGGCGCCATCAAGTGGTTTGGCCAGGCACTGTGACTTCATTCTGATCCAAATAGTCCAATTTATGCAGATACAGATATATAAAGGGATGGGTTGTTATAATTAAGTAATTGGGAAATACAAGATCATCTGTCTTGAGAAGCTGAACACTTTAGAAGCTCATGGTCTATATATGCAAACAGTTTTTTAATCTTCACTCTTTTTGTAACCAGGAAGCCTTGAGGCATAGCGCTGTGACATGGTTTGCTTATGTTCTCCTACTTAATAATAGCAAAGTTTATAGAACTCAGAAATTTATATAATGTTATTAATCAAACTTTATATTTCATCAGAATGTTTCTGCCACACAGCAGTCAAGCATCACTGTGAGTCCTGAGTTTGTGGCCTCCTAATCAATGGCATGTTTTCTTCGGGGGGTGTTGCCTTTCAGAGTGTCCTGCCCTTCTTTGTTGCTACGAAACTGGCTAAAATCCGGAAAACATCTCTGACCATACCCTCTTCAGAGGCATATGTGAAGTCGGCGTTGAAAACAGTGGGGTTGACAACCCGAACCAATGGATACCCGATCCATTCTCTTATGGTAGGTAGATTTCTAAGTCCCAGATCAGCACTTGGGTGTGTGTTTTCTTTTCCTCCATTGAGTCATAAAAATAATGTGATAAGTTAATATATATGTATAGGCTAGACTTACTAACAAGTCATCTGTGTTTTATTTTTAAAAACCCAGGAACTCTAAAATCTACCTATAAGTTAAAAAAAACTATAGTAAAACCTAAGATCACGTGTTTTAATTTAGCTCAAACTATAGGCTGTAATTACATATCTCCCCATTTCTTTTCCTAGGCTGTATTTGCCTCCATGGTGCCTTCTTGGTTATATATGAAAATGGGCATGCGTATGGGCATGTCCACGCGGGCTCACTATCTGAAGAAAGTCAAGAAGAACTAAGCGTTGATAACTGCTCTGTGTAGCTCAGCCAGATGCTCCGGCCTCCACATGCTCCCCGCAGGCCACCCACCCAGCTCCCAAATCGTCAGTCATTTTAATAGTTACTCATAAGGCTGAATGAGGCCATAATCAGGAGCTCCTGACATATATTCTGGGTGCTACCAGCAGCAGTTATTGTGTAGTTTAATATAAATGCTCATATCAATTGGATATAGAACTAATATTAACAAGAATAACTTAATGAGAAGGTGCACAAGTTTAGCAAATCACAGAAGGCTAGAGTCGGGCGTAAGGCCCAGCAGATTCATCTGGCCCAAAATGCCAATGATGACTCTTTATCTTCTTTGAAACATACTTTAAGAAGTCACAGCCAGCTATTCGTTCTTGTTTTTAACAGTTTGAGGGCCTGGAGATGAATGTATTTACACTGGGAGGACACACTGCAGTTTGCAGAGTTCCTTTGTAAGCTTTTCTAAAGGCCTGTCCCTGTTTGTATATGTTTATATGGAACTATTCTTTTTCCAAATAGTTAATGACAAAATTAATTTGGAAGGTTTTTTTTTTTTTAAACACGTGAAGACTATAAAAATATGCTTTCTTTTAATACATATTTCTTCTCAGTTTAAATGTATGTAGCTACTTTAAGGTGTATGGTATGATTTATAAAAGGGGCCAAAATGTTACTGAGCCAAACAGCCACCTGTGGTGCCACTAAAACCCTGCCCAGGAAAGTGGCCTGGTGGACCCAGTGGCCTGGTGTCTATGCTTCAATAATACTGCTTACATAAGTGACAGAGGCTATTCCTAGAACAGCGTGACATCAGAGAAGTGGCCTTACACTTTGAGATTAGTACCCTCTATATACTGATATAACGGTCTTGATGAAAGGTGATGGAACCGTGGTGTTGATTAAAAATATACTTCTTTAGTGCTTGAAATTAAGGCCATTGTTACAATGGCTTAATATAAATTAAGGCTCACTTTTATCCTGCTACATAACTTGTTTGGGGAAATCGCTAAGCAATAATTCTAAGTTGTGAGACATGTTATCTGAAAGGTAGACTTTTTCCTAGGCTGAGGTTCCCAGGCTAAGTTTTAAGCACCAATAAATTAGCACAAAACATTTTTAATTGGGGTATTTAAGTGTTTCTAAATTTTAATAGCCAATAAAAACAGAAAACCAAATTACCATCGTTATATAAAAGACATTTAATAGCATATAAAAAGTGGAAAGAACAATATCTCAGAATGAGGAATTCTCATTTAAATGGAATAAAGTTTCTTTGAAAAACATTGCCTTTTTCTCTCTTTCATTTTGTTGACAGCACAATGACCTGGGCAATATTTCATTTGCCTTCACATGGTTGATTGGTTGATGGTTATCATGTGGTTATTGCTGGAAAGTTGGCAGAGAGGGGATGGATTGGCTAACAAGTATACAAAATATTTTTCCTTTTACCCCAGTTGGGAAATAGTTATATTCTGGCTAGGAAATCTCTTAGCAACCTCAAAACTTCTGAGCTATGGCTTTGACTTCTTCAACTTAGCAAATTTCCTCTTGTATTTGACACTCAAGGTTAAAGAGATGAAATGAAAATCTGTTTCCAGATACATGAAAGAAAAATTGTACTAAGAAACAAATATTCTCAAAACCTTCAACATGGTAAAGCATAAATTTGAGACTTATTTTCTGTTGACTTGTCTGAAGTGTGCTGGGTAAGCTTTGAACCCAAAATGCACTGAGTGGGAGACAGTATTAGTTATTTATGTAGAGTAAGCTCTCCTCACAACATAGGAAGCAAATTTTAATTTATTGTTTTCTCAATGCCCTTTCAATGGAATAGCGTGGGGGGAATTATCCTGCACACATAATGGTCTGTGCCGTTCTGACCTGTCCTTGTGTCATTTCCACGTACAGTGGAAATAAATAAGTAAATGCTACGGTGATGTTATTGGTCTCCTTTTCCTCAAATGTGGTTCTGTCCTAAAGAGATGAATTCTGACTTCTCATTTGATATTTATTGCATTGAAATATAATAGAATTGAACTTTACAGAGTGAACATTAATCCTGATACCAATACATATGGTGCTGATTCAATGTGGAGAAAAAGATTTATTGTGATAATACCTTGTGAGAATGAAATGAGCTTAAATAGTACTATAATTCCCTTGGGTTTAAAAATTTACCTGAAATTTAGGTGGTCCTGGATTCTGCTAGTTTGCTCTGTAGTTTTCCAGGGTCAAAACAAAGTATTGAAGCCTTTTTTTAATTGAGTATGTTGGAAACTAAATGTTAAGAACTCACTACTTTGTGACATTCTAATATTTCTAGATTGGCATGTTTATGTCACTCATGCTATAAAACACATACAGACAGACATTCTTTAAATTCCCTGTGGAGATATAGATGAGAGGTGGATGAAGACATCTAGAAGTGGAACATGTGTCTAACATGAGCACATATTACTCTCCTTGAATGTGTGTCATTGAACAATAAGCAATCTGGGTCCTACAAAAGGTCATCCCAAAAGGATATAAGCAAGCTTATCTTCCTCGTTACAAAAGCTTCCAGGAGTACCATTGTGTGTGTTGATGGGAGTGTCAGTCATGTGCCATGGACTCTTCTGGATACCCAAGAAACTGCAGCAAACACAGCTGAGCTGGGGGAGAGGGAGGGAGCAAAGGAGGGAAACAGATGGTAAACAGAAAAAATAATATTAATGTAGCATGAGTGCCACATGAAGCAACGCTAGGAGGCTGGGGAACTGGTGTGTGTCGGGTGGGAGGCTTGTGATTATAAGGTACTCAGAGCAGGTTTGGGTGAGGGTGGTGGTGGTCTTTGAACAGTTTTGAGCAAGCCATTCAGTGACCTGAGGGAGGGACATTTCAAGCAGACTAGCCTGTGCACAGAGCCCAAGGAGAGCATGTCTGGAGTATGCACATATTGAAGTATATATTAAGTGATGTGTCTCCTGGAGATTTCAGAGATCTTGTTTTAGTTTAATTATGACTTTCTAGAATTAAATCACCTTTACATTCTTGGTCATGTTTCACCATCTTTGCACACTGTGGAATGCAGTTTGCTGATACTTTATTTGGAATTTTTGCATCTGTATTTTGGAAATTGTGTTTTTATATCAGGATTATAACTTCATTAAATGAGCTGGGAAGTGTTGCCTATTTTGCTATTTCTGGAAGATTCTGTAAAAGAGCGGAACAACCTTTTCCTTGAAAGTAAATAAGAACCATCTGGCCCTACTATTTATTCATGGGAAGATTTTTAATTATTGATTTATCTTAATGGTAATAAGGATGCCCAGGATTTCTACTTTTTGAGTCAATTTAGAAAACAAGTTTTTTCTAAGCATTTAGTTATTTCCAAATTTGCTAGCATAAAGTAACTCAAGAAATATTCTTAGTTTTTAAACCTCTCCTGGATATGTACTTATATTTCCTTTTTTAATATTGTTTATGCTTCTCACTTTCTTTTCCTTACTATTTTGTCAGAAGTTTGTCTATTGTTGTTTTTTAAAAACATATTTTATTGATTTCAGAGAGGAAGGGAGAGGGCAAGATAGAAACATCAATGATGACAGGGAATCACTGATTGGCTGCCTCCTACATGTCCCCTGCTGGGACTGAGCCCACAACCTGTGCATGTGCTCTGACTGGGAATTTAACTGAAATCCAACCATGATCTGGTTCATAGGTTGATGCTCAAACACTGAGCCACACTGGCTATTTATTAGTGTTTTTTTTTAAGAACCAACTTTTGCCTCTATTGATCCCCTTTGCTCTTTTTATGTCTTGCTTTCTGGGGGTTTATTCTGTTATTATTCATCATTTAGGCATGTAATTCATTCATGTTCAATTTTTCCCCTATTTTTACAATACATTAAGGCTCTAAATTTATTGGGCAATCTTTTGCTATATCCCACAATTGTGTGTGTGCGCGCACACACAAACAAGCACATACATTCTTTTTCAGGGCTAATATTTAAAAGTTTACCTTATGATTTTCTTGAACTAGTAATTATTTAGAAATGGTTTTTAGAAGCACAAACTTAAGTTTTTAAAAGCACAAATTTAAATTTTATAAATGTATTTTGTTTTAAACAAAATTTGTATTGGTGTTGCCATTAATAAGAAGTTTACACTATGTGCATTCTGATGTGATGGACTGAAGATACATCATTTATGTGGTATTCCTGCCACAACATATAACCTGAACCTAACCAAGATGAATATCAGAAAAAACTAAATTGAGGGATATTTCACAGAATAACCAGCCTATACTTATGAAACATTTCATTCTAAAGAAGACTAAAGAAATCTGAAAAATAAATGTAATACATCATGATCTTGGGATGGGATCCAGGTTGAGAAAAAAAAATTGTTCTTTTGCTATAAAAGACATTTTTGATACAATTGGTGAAATTGAGTAAGATCTGTAGATTAAATAATAGCACTGTATCAGTGTTAATTTTTGGAGTTTGATCATTGTACTGTACTACTTAAGAAAAAGTCCTGAGTTTTAGGAAATGCAGAGTAGAGTATTTACACATGTAACTATATGCAAATTAATCTCAAAAGGTTAGAAAAAAATTGCATACATAGAAAATAATAAAGCAAAGTGTGGCAAAATATTAATATTTGGAGAATCTAAGTGAAGGGTATATGGCAATTCTTTGTACTGTTTTTGCAAATGTCCTATAAATGTTTTAAATTCTAAATAAAAGTTAAAAATATTTATCTCTAAACAATTGCATTGTGGTCAAAGAACATGAGTATGACACAACTTGAACAAGTTATCTTTCTTTGCCTCAGTTTTTGCCACCTGAAAAATGAGAATACTAATAGCACCTATCTCAGAGTTCTGAGCAGAAATTGACATTTTTAAAGTGCTCAGAATCCAGCTTGAAATTAATATATATGTGTTGTAGAAGGTTAATAATGGCCTTGTAAATGTCATCTTATGTTTTAAAAAGGATGTTTGCAGATGTGAATAATTTAGGAAATGAAATTATCTTAGTTTATCTATATAGCCCTAAATGCAATCACAAGTATCCTTAATAAGAGAGAAGTATTACATGCAGAAGAAGATAAGGCGATGTGACTAGGGAGGCAGAAACTGGAATGATGGGGCCACAAGCTAGGGAATGCCATCAGCCACCAGAAGCTGGAAGAGACAAAACAGACTCTCTCCAGAGGTTCTGGAGGATTGCCAGTCCCACCAACACCTTGGTATTGGCCTAGAAACTGATTTTGGACCTCTAGTCTCCAGAACTGTGAGAGGATAGCCTTGCTTTAAGTGTCTGAGTTTGTAGTAATGTTAGAGCAGCTTAGGAAAAGAATGCATAGAATACATATGTAAACTTTTTATTACTCCCTATTTTTAGAAATTTTATGAGACTTTATGGCTAGGTATAGACAAAATTCTAAGTGTACCATGTGTGCTTAGAATATATTTCTGTTAGAGGCTCAGTGCATGAAATTCCTGAAATGGGGGGAGGGGTTCCCCTCAGCCCAGCCTGCGCCCTCTCACAGTCCGGGGCCTCTCGGGATGTCTGCCTGCAGGCTTTAGGCCCAATCCCCCTGGCCTAGTTTCCTGATTTCTATGTTTTTGTGGACTAGGATTTTGTGTTTAAACCCCATAAATTCAGTGTTTTCATTATTGTTTTATAGAATCATGCTGGTTTAAAATAAATTATATATTTACCAATTTGTTTACATTCCTCTCTTGCATGTCAGATCTTCCTTCTGATGTATGTCATAGTTTAATTGGAACCATTACTTTTTCTCTGTTGGTGCTATATTGAATGAGTAAAGGTGTGATTTAGAATTGATGGAATTTTAAGGTTAATAAAATACCTCATCATTCATTGACTTCTGGCTCCCGTGGTTGGTGTTCAGAAGTCAGTGTCAGTATGGCATTCTTTCATAGGTGAAATAATTCTGGTCACATTTAAGATACCTTTGGCTTGGTGTTCCCTGGTATCATGACAGTGTATTTAAGTACGGAATTTTAAAAATGTATCCTACTTGGTTTATGCTATGCTTTCTGTATGTAAGAAGTCATGTCTTTGATCTTTTCTGGAAAAAAAAAATCTCACTGTCTTCAAGTCTAGTTATAAATGTTCTATCTTGATTCTGCCTCATTACATTTCTCATACTTTCTACCTCTCGTTTCCCAAGCTGCATACTGTGCGATTTGTTTACATATATATTCTAGTTCCTTAGTCTCTTCGTTTATTTTTATCTTCTGTTAAAGCAAGTCACTGCTATTTTTATTTTTCATTTTTACATGTTTTAGTTCAGCGGTTGCCAACCGGTGGTCCACGGACCACTGGTGGTCCATGAGGTCCAAAAGCTTGGCAGCTGCTGTTTTAGTTGGTTCTTGTTTAAATCTGCTTGGTTATTCTTGATAGTTTCATGCTTGCTCATTTTCCAAATTCAGTCCTAAAATTTTATGGAAGTATTTAGCACATTGGCATTTTATATCCCATATCTGATGATTCTTATTATCAGAAATTCTTAGGAATCTAAATCTATTGGTTGTATTTCTCCAGACTCTCATTCAAAGTGGTTTATTTTCTTTTGTGGTGGTACTATTATTTTGAAATCCTATTTGATTGATTTTAATCAGGAGAAAAGTCCTGAGGGCTAAATTGGGATGCTCCTCAGAAGTAAATTTTTTGTTTCTGTCCGTTGGCAGCCTGGGAACTCTACCAACCTGGCACTACTCGCACTCCACTGGAGGTACCCGGCTCCATGCAGCAGTCCCAGCCTTAGCTCTCACACCTTGTAATGGTGCCAAGTCACTCTCCTGCTCCAGAGGCAGGCTCTATGTTTCCCCCAAGGAGCAACCACTGATTTCTTATTTTCTTACTGCTAACTGCTTCTAGCTCTGATTTCATTTTCTTACACTTTTTTCACCCCTTTGGTTTGGTTTATTATCTTGCCCTTATAACAAAATAAGTAGTATCTTATAATAAAATATTTTTTGTGACTCTAGCTTTGCATTAGAGTTTGGGTACTTGTGTTACATTTCTTCTAGGTAGGAATTAATATCATGTAACCTAATAGATATATGATAGAACGACAAAGAAAAGTTTTTTCATTTCTGCAGAGAACAGAGGAGCTAACTGCAAGCTACATTCATGGGGACTTAGTGGCCACTCTTTATGTTTGTTCTAATTTAGCCAGAATTGAGTTGTATTATTCAGCCGTACTGCCAGGAGTCTCCATTGAGTTTTCCATCTTTTTTTTCTCTCTGTTTGAATATTTTCCATTAATTGTCTTTTTTTAAATTTTTTTATTTTATTGATTTTTTACAGAGAGGAAGGGAGAGAGAGAGAGAGCTAGAAATGTCGATGAGAGAGAAACATCGACCAGCTGCCTCTTGCACACACCCTGCCAGGGATGTGCCCGCAACCAATGTACATGCCCTTGACCGGAATCGAACCTGGGACCTTTCAGTCCGCAGACCAACACTCTACCACTGAGCCAAACCGGTTTCCACCATTAATTGTCTTTTTAAATAGACTGTATATTTAACTTTTGTTTTAGATTTACAAGAAAATCTAGCAGAAAGTACAGAGAATGCCTATATTCCATACCATATTATGTTGCTACCAATCCTTCACTTTTGAAGTCATTGAAACACACACACACACACACACACACACAAAATAAAACCACCAGCAATGTGGTCCCAGGAGATGGCTCCATATATCATTCCAGGAATAGTCCTGTCTTTCCTAATTAGCGTTCACTCTGCCATGTATTTGCAGTGGTGTGATGGCATCATGTAGCATCATAGTTCAGTTTAACCCTTTGTAAATGGAGACTAATATTTATACATCTACATCATAAAGTCTTTTGAAAATCAGATCAGCATGTAAATAATTAGAACAGCATTTGGCAAACAAGGCACTCAATAAATGTTAAGTAGTATTTGTATTTGCTATTTTTTATAATTAAGAATGCGTAGATAAACTTTGCCCGCTCTTTTTTCAGGGTAATATAACTATCAGAATACCTTTGGGCTTTCAAATGTCAAATATTTTAGAGCCTTGGCAAAATTCTCTGTTACCCATAAAGCCTTTGTTGATGACTGTAACCGCTAGTGATCTCTCCCGTCCCAGATTTTTGTCTGCTATCTACAATTCCACATCCAAGTATGTTGTTCTTTAATTGTGCCTCAACGTGGTTTACACCGTGGTTTCTGGGAGACTTTATCTCTGGCAGCATCTGCAGTCGTGCTGGGCAAGGAGCAGGAGGAGTTCCTGAGTGGAGTCTGGGAAGCATCCTCTCTCTGAGTTGTTTAAAATTGGCCAAGTCTTGAAAGCCTGCACACAAACACGCTGCCGAGTTGGCAGGTTCCTGTCCCACCCTCCTTCCTCAAGCTGGGAACCGCTGAGCCTGGGGCCGGGAGACATGGGCTGGGAATTTCCCTCTGCAACACCTTGGCTGACAGCTATTAGCTTGATGTGCCATGATTTTCCTTGGATTGGATGTTCTCAGGAATTCAGCATCAGGCGCTCCACAAGTGGCACATGATTCAGACGGAACACTGGGCAAGAGTCTGCTGTGAAAACAGGCAACTGAAAGTAGGCTGTAGGGTGTGACTCGCCCAGAGTCGTTTCTAAGAGCTACCAACACATAAAATATTGATCAGTTTTGCCATCCAGGGGAGGAGATAACTGTTGAGTAGAAAATGGATCACCTGGAAAAGGCAGAACTCTTTAATGTTCTTACAAATTGAAACCAGGCACTGTTAAAAATGCCAGATGCTGGGTTCTGCCCCAGACCTCTTGACTCAGAATCTTGATGGGGCCTGGAATCTTGCGTTTTTATACGCATTCCTCCAGTGACTCTGCAGATGTTTCTCTCTCATCAATGTTTCTAACTATCTCTCTCCCTTCCTCTCTGTAAAAAAATCAATAATAAAAAGAAAAAACAATCAAGGAATAAATCAAAAGATACCTTGATACTGGTTTCAGAGGAGAGGCAAGGCAACTGGGCCAGCAAAACCTACTGGGACTTCAGGAGGGAGGTCTCAGCTAAAGAAACCCAAGAGTGGCACTAGAACAAAGGGCCCAAATCAGAGGCAAACCAGTTACTTACAGTTTAAGGCAGACCTTGGGGCAGTCCCTTGCTAGCCCTGATATCATGGTCATACTCAAATAGACAGAAACCATATAGTAATTCAAACAGGAATAAAACAAAGAATTACTCACTATAATAAGAAATTACCTCCAGGCCGAAACCAGTTTGGCTCAGTGGATAGAGCGTTGGCCTGTGGACTGAAAGGTCCCAGGTTCGATTCCTGTCGGGGGCATGTACCTTGTTTGCGGGCACATCCCCAGTAGGGGGTGTGCAAGAGGCAGCTGATTGATGATTCTGTCTCACTGATGTTTCTAACTCTCTATCCCTCTCTCCTTCTCTGTGAAAAATCAATAAAATATATTTTTTTAAAAAAAGAAAAAAAATTACCTCCAAGGGAAAAGGAAAACTAAAAATACTGACATAGTGGATAGAGAGAGCAGCCACTTAAAAGTACCTCAAGGCTGGTCTACCTCTAGGTCAAGGCAGAATACAAAGGAACGCACAAAGCCAGAAGCACTCTCACCTGTCAGGAAGCACAGACGTATGCTGTATTTTTCAAGTCATCTGCTCCAGGTGAGGGTTTCACAGGGTTTTCAAGTGTCCCCAGATAAAGGAGGGCAAGGTACTTCCACTGCCAAACAAGGCACAGGATGACCTGGTGTTCAAAATCGTCACTTTCATCCAGGCCCACGCAGAAGTGCCTATTTCAAGTTTGGGGATCCCATTCCTCCCCAATCAATACCTCAGCCTCACAAGAGAAACTTAACAAGGCTATAAATTCATCTAACACTGAAATTCAGCCCACAGACAGTTGTCATGCATTGAAAAGCCAGCTGAGACCGCATACTGGAATCAGGAAGAGCCCTTTCCTCCTCTCCTAGTATGTCCCTCCAGCACCTCTACCGATGGAACTGAACACCCGGCCAAATGGAAAAGGAGTCGTGCCAGTACTGCGAGCAGGTCAGTGAAGGATGGGTTTGGACCTGAGAATCAGTAAGAATTGGCAACGCACCTCATTTTCATCCCTTTTCCGTGGTCACCACCACCACCACCACCACCACCACCACCACTCCTAATAGAAACAAATCCTGCAAACAGAAATAGGGCAACCCAGGATGCGAAACTGCACCAAGATAGTCTTTCTAATAGTATAGACTCACATGTATCTAGGATGATCAACAGTTTGCCCAGGACTGCCCTGGCTTAGCACTTATAAAGCCCTGCATCCTGAGAAACCCCCAGTCCCAGATAAACTAGGACACTTTGTCACCCTACATGTGTCCAAAAGGTTCCCAAATGTTGTATGCATCAGAAACACCTTAGGCACTTAGTAAAAACACAAGTGATTCTGTTAAAGATGCAGTTATTTTAGATGCCAGCGGGCTATGTATTAATTTTTGAGAAGTGTTCTACTTGGAGAACTCTACTTCTAGGGACTCCTCAATCCAGACTTCTTTGTTTCTGTTCCAAAACCATTAACCATCACAAAAGAAAGAAATTACATTCCTTGGAAGATACAGCCAAAGGTTCCTGAGCCTGAAGCAGACACTGACAAGCTAGTTGATGGGCTTGTGGTACAAAAATTGCAGTCCGACCATACCACTTGCCCCTCCTTTCAGTTCCAGGCTAAAATGTTTCTCCTTCCATGTTACAAGTTATAACAATGAATAGTGGATTCTGTGAAGATGAGAGAGTTATTAACGACATAGCTACATTGTTAGGGTAGACTGAACGTCCTGCAAGTAAGCAGTATGAGGCTTATTCTGAAGACTTTTGCAATGACTACGCTTTGGCAGATCTTGAAGAATAACTTGCCCTGGCCGGTGTGGCTCCGTTGGTTGGAGCGTCCTCCGGTGAACCGGAAGGACATCGGCTGGATTCACAGGCAGGGCACACGCCGAGGTTTCTAGTTCCATCCCCGGTCAGGACGCACAGGCGTTGCTGAGAGGATCATTGATCCGCTGCCTCCTGCACAGCCCCCACCGGAGATGGAGCCCGCCACCCCCAAATGTTTCCTATCCGGAATCAAACCTGGCTCATAGATCGATGATCAACCACTGAGCAACGCGGGCTGCGCAAACTTCAAATCCTTTTGCTTAGTACCCGGTTCCCCAACTCCCTCGCCTTTCCACTAGCTGGGCAGAAAAAGAGGCTTGGACGTCTCCAACAGGCGGAGCCGGGGAGGTGATATCCAGAGGGTCCCTGGCCTCGGAAACACGTCCTCACTCCTCCCTTCGCCATATCCGGGCTCCTCGCGGGGATCCATCTAACCCTCCAACCCGGTGTCTACCTCCAACCCGGCCCTCCCTGCAGCACCTTCAGATACGCGGCCCTTCGGAAGCCAGGAACGCGGAGCAGCCCGGAACGCAGAGCAGCCGGACGCCAGGTGCTGGCGCCGGAAGCGGCGGCGGCGCGTGACGTAAGCGGAAGTATCTGACGCCACGGCCTCTGATTGGGAGTTGCTCGAGTCGGTGCTGCACTGTTAAGGGTCCCCGGGCTGCAGGCGGCGAAGCAGGTCCGGGGCCGAGGGTTGCTTTCTGGGCGGAGCGCGCCGGCAGGTGCGGCCCGTGGGTTCCCCGGTGGGCGCTCGGGCTGGTGGGGCGGGGGCCGCCCCTGAGGTCCTTTCCCCGTGGCCTCCGCGACCTCACCCGAGCCTCCTGGAAGAGAAGGGTCTGCTAGGGAAAGTTATTAACCCTTGTGGAGGGCCAAGCTTTCAGACCGTTTAATCTGTATTTCAATCGTGAGGGAGAGATGGGTGTCCTGCTCATAGAGGAGGAAACTGAGGCCCCAAAAGGCGGAATCATGTGCCCCAGGTTATGCAGCTGGGAAGTGGCAGATCTTGATTCCAAGCGAGTCCTGGCCGACGGGGTCCGCCAGCTTGGACTGGGATAGGAATCCCGGGTGGGAGGTGGGGTGAATGAACAGTTTCTAAACTGTTATGGGGCCCTGGAACCCGTATTTTCAACATCTGTCCCCTGACATGTACAATAGTAACCTATTGCTGCCCGTGAGCCGGGCAAGAACTATAGCTAATTGTCGTGTTAAGCTTTTAAGGCCTCAATGGAGAGAAAATATCAAACGAGAGCTTCCTCTACCCGTCTTGTGGGACTGGAGAGTTGGTATTTTGGGGGCAGATGACAGCCCCTATCATCTCCCCACTTAGGAGAAGAATTACGTATTTGTTACCTGGCCAATTTGTTAAACATTTGGATTTCTGGGCGCTCATCCCAGCTGTCCTGAATCAGGTGTGTGTGGGGTGGGTCCTGGTAATCAGTAGGTTAAACAGGCTTGTTACCTTCGAGAACCTGCGATGAGAAGCTTTTTAGATAGGCTTATAAAGAAATGGATCATAGTTTCAAAGCATGCCTAAACCTCCCTGCTCCTGGTAGGTCTGCATGCTCCTGTATATGCTGTGAACTAAAACTTTATTGGTGAAAATGTCAAAGTGATATGACGTTACTGACCATTATGAGGTGGATTCTTCAATTAGCTGAAGATTGTAACAAAATTTGAATAGTAATATATCTATTGACTCTCTCTCTCTCTCTCTCTCTCTCTCTCTATATATATATATATATATATATATATATATATATATATATATATATATATATTTGATTTTTTTATAGAGAGGAAGGGAAAGGGATAGAGAGTTAGAGACATCTATCAGGGCTTATTGATTTCTTGAGTGACGTTAGTGAGGTACTTAACCTTGTGGTCCTCATACATGTCTCCTACAATGCTTATTACACTTGTATCCATCCTGGATCAAATTTTCTAACAGGCCATTTTTAAAATGTTTTTATTTTTTATTTTTAGAGAGACAGGAAGGGAGAAAGAGAAAGAGAAATACTGATGTGATAGAGAAGCATCAATCAGTTGCCACCCATATGTGCCCCGACTGGGCATTGAACTTGCAACCTAGGTGTGTGCCCGACTGAGAATCAAACCTGCAACCTTTTGGTGTAGGGGATGACGCTCCAACCAGCTGAGACATCTGGCCAGGGCAAGGACATGGGTGTTTTTAACAAGCTTTGAGGGATGTTTGATGCCACTAGTGATGATAGGATATGGAAATGTCTTCGGAAACTGAGCCTTGGCCTATTTCTCAGTTTCCAGGTAGGGGGAGTATTAGTTTCCTTAAGTTCTGCTCTGGGGACTAATAAGAGGAATGTAGTTTATAATCCTGGCATAGAATTTCTTAATGACGTGCACTTTCTTGTGAATGACGTGAAGGTACTATAATAAGATTGCAAAAGGTAAACCTTAACACCAGCAGCCCTAAGTGACTTAGTAGGCTCCTTGCTTGAGATGTTGTGATGACAGAAGTTGATTTTATATAGAAGCTCTGATTGCTGTTGAGCAGTCTCTTCTGCCTGGAAGGATTATAGTTACCCTTTAGTAGTAGAAGTTCTACACCTCCTATTAAAAGCATGTGTGTGTTTGTTTTTTTTTAAAACAGGCTACCATCATGTGGGTCATATCAGCAATGAAATCGTCTGAAAGCTAAGAGCAGAAGCCTTTTTGGTCAACATGGAGGACAAAAGACGGCGAGCCCGCGTGCAGGGAGCCTGGGCTGGCTCAGCCAAGAGCCAGGCCGTGGCTCAACCAGGCAAGCACCCATGGGGATCCTGTGCGTGTGGATGTGGACAACTGTCATCCTCTTTCCTTTCCATCCCTCTGGTGTACAGTGGACTCCCATTTCGATGTTAAAGAATTATTTAAAACATGGCTGGTGTTTTCTCTGAATTTATTGACCGTGAGCTAAGGGTTGATCTGTAATGTTTCTCTCATTTCGTCATTACACTCAGACCTTTCAGTACGTGTGTTGAGGTCTTCAGCAGATGTTACTAATTAATTTGTAGAGGTCATAGAGGTCATCTCTAAGTGGATTTCGTTGGTCCTTGCTCAGTAGTAGGTGACGAGAGCAGACTTTTCTCTCTCTTTCTTCAGCTACCACTGCTAAGAGCCATCTCCACCAGAGCCCTGGTCAGACCTGGACAAACAAGGAGCATCATCTGTCAGACAAACAGTTTGTATTCAAAGAACCCCAGCAGGTAAATTCTTGTTTCTCCTTCAACAGTAACGGATGGTTTATAAATTATATTCACATTGTAGACACTCAAATAATTAGTGACTGAATAAATTCACTAATAAGGGAGAGTTAAAGGACTATAATAATAATGAAATGTAGAATATCAATTTCTTAGTATATCTGAGAATTCTCTGTAGTCTTCCCCCAAATTATGGGCATGTGTAATTTCTCTCCCCCCCCCCCCCCTTTTTTTTTTTTGGTACAGAGGCTGTACATGATCAGAGGTTAGAGGTGACAACATGACTAGAGCTTTCATTCGTTAAAGTCTAACAGTCCTAAAACCATGCTATCTTCAGTGCTAATGCAGCAAATGTCTCTGAAATTGGATTGAAATTTCAGCAACTACAATGCTTGATATTTTAGCTTTTTTTTCCCATGGGGAAAAATGTAAGAAACAGTGAAGATTCACTGTTTTTAATTATAAGGGAGAAAGCTAAATATCAGGCATCATGCTATAGCAGTGATTTTCAACCTTTTTCATCTGATGGCACACGTACATTACTAAAATTCTTTAGCACTCCAAAAAGTATATTTTTTGCCGATTTGACATTTTAAAAGGTATAATTTTGATTGGCTTAGAAAAAGAAAGTTTTTATCCATCCTTTTTTCTCCAGTGTGACTTTTTAAAGAATCAGGTGCCTATACTTGTATATTAGGAGTTCTGGTACCAAGAATTACCAATCAAACGCCACCTGATTATGTGACATAACCAATAAGATGCAACCCAATTATATGACCTATATATTTATGGTTCAGACATTCACACTGGATAGCTGTTGTTGTGTTGGCTATTGTCATTTTCTTATTTAACAATCTAAGAGAAAAGAGGTCAGTGCCCCTGACTAAAGAGTTGGGTATTGTGTGTTTTAAAAATGCGTGTGGCATAGTGATAGAAAATTGCTGTGTTCTAGTAATGATTTCATAAATGATTAAAACCCCTTACTTTCTAGAATATCTTCTGTTTTAAAAAATATCCTGGAAAGGTTTTCCTAATGCTCACTGTTAGGAAAATGGATCAATTCCAATTGCCTCATCTTTTAACGCTCACTAGTAACTAAGAAGAGCAGAAACAAGAGTTTCTGGTGGGACAGTGAGATCTTGGAATAAAAAAGGATAGTTTTGAACTGATTTATTTTGACCAGAATGAAAGGTTACGGTAATCCTTCAAGTCAGCCTCGCTGAGGGTGAGGAGCCCTTCCACAGTAAGATCTGCCTGTTTCCTTGCAGGCAGTGCGCACAGCCCCGGAGCCGCGAGTGATTGAGTAAGTAATATGCTGCCTTCCTCTGACTATTGCCTGCACTGAAATGGAGAGCCCGGGATTGTTCCCTCACCCTGGTTTTTCCGTCTGGGAGAGATAGCAGCTCAATAGTGTCTTAATTTTAGGCTGGGATATTCCTATCTCAGATGTCTTTAAGCTGGGTCTTTTGAGAAGCCTCTCTGAATTTACTGAGGGTGTGGAAAATGCAACAAGATAGTCTACGTCAAATTCTGACTGGTGTAGCTTTCCTGACCCTATTTCACTAATATGTCTGCAGACAGTGAGCTAAAATATCTCCTAGGTTAAGACGGGTTGGAGGAGCGTTTTTCCTGAGTCATTGAAACATGGCTCTTTGAGAAGCCTGTAGGTACCATTTTACTAGCAATGCTTATGAAAGCTGCTAGAAATCTGGATATCCCTACAACCTATTTCTTAAAACCACATAATTGTTTCAGAGCAAGTGAATGATAGTAAACATCCCATTCCTCATATTAATGTATCTAAAATGTTCTCGTCAAAAATTGTTAAAAATGCTTTGACTCCTCTTTTCCTGCTTTTCATTTTCCATCTGATGTGCATAAGTTGTCAGTCTAAAGCATCCTTTTATTTTAGCAGGTTATCATTATGCTTATGTTATTGCTCATGAGCAGTTTGTTAAGCTGTTTGGCTGTTAAAGGCTGACTTGTATATCTTAAAAATATTTTAAACTAACACAAATGTCATCATACTTTCAGAAAGGGTATGTTTTTGTGGCCTTGCCAGAGCAGTTTGGGTTGGCCGAACTGTGGCTGACACGCTAACTTCCCTTTGCGTTTGTTCACTGCCTTTGTTACATCACATGGTGCCAGTGTCCCTCTTTCTTCATAGCTATGTAACTAGTTCTTAGGTAAGCTACTGTCATCTCTCTGGGCTGTAGTCTTCTTATTTGTAATATTAAGTGTTTTGACTACTTAATCCCTTAAGGCCCAGGCTAGCAGCTCTACAGTCTTCGGTTGTTTTACAAATACCAGTGTGATATTATCTCCATTGGTGATAAAGAGAATAAATAAAACCATGAAACCTGTTAAAAAATGGGCAATTGTGAGTTTGCAAAGTGACAGAACTGATTCCTATTTAACCCTAGGGCTTGTTAATTTTGGTTATCTAGAGTTAGCTGTGCTAGATTTTTCTAATAGCCAGAAGTGTGGCTCACATTTGAAGTGAGCCAGCTTCTAAATGTGGCCCAAAATATATCACATAGCAACATTGTAATCACACACAACACATTTAGAAATGTGACCAATACTGTATATGTAACAGTAGTTCTGCTACATTTTGGTTCAGAGTGGCTCACACATCTACCTAAGAGCCTACTCAGAGATTGTGAGGTACTCACTCACATGGCAGAGCGGTGTGTGAAAACTGTCCCTTTGTATTATCCTCAGTAACGTACCTCCTTCTGAGAAGGAACTGACACAATTATCTGGATAGAGGCACCTATCCAGTCGGGAACACTTCTCTTACATGGACCTCACCACCCTGCACATACGCAACAGTTTTGTGCTATTGCAAACTTGATTAAATTCAATTAGCTTTTATTTCTCAACTAGTATGTGTTAGGTGCTGGGAAACAGTAATAACCTATTTCTTGCCCCTCAGTAGCCCACAGTCTAGTAAATGAAATGGACATGTGACCAAATACATTGTAATCCTGTGTATCATGAAATAGTAGATTTGTACGTAAGGTCTTATGGTAGCACAGAGGATGAGATGTTAACATTCGGGTGGATTAAAGGTCAGGAAGGTGATGCTGAGCTGAAACGGGGTGGTGTAGTCAGGAGTCCAGGCAGTGAAGTTGGTGGAGCTATCGGGAGGTGGAGCCAGGTCACAGGGACGTTAAATACAATGCTGACAAGTTGCTGGGGAGCCTTGAAGGACTTTTTAAAAAAAAATTTTCAATATATTTTTATTGATTTTACACAGAGAGGAATTGAGAGGGATAGAGAGTTAGAAACGTCGATGAGAGAGAAACATCGACCACCTGCCTCTTGCACACCCCCCACTGGGGATGTGTCCGCAACCAAGGTACATGCCCTTGACCGGAAATGAAACCGGGACCTTTCAGTCCGCAGGCCGATGCTCTATCCACTGAGCCAATCCAGTTTTAGCAGCCTTGAAGGGCTTTAATCAGAGGAGGAACCTCATTAGACATGTATCTGAAAGCAGCAAATGCACAGATACCTGTTAGATGCATCCCTTTTCCAGAGTTTCCAAGGGGGCTCTCTATTTGGCACTATTTTGGCCTAAGTTATGGGTGAATAGGAAGGGGTAGGATCAGAGTTTATGTTATTACAGTCTTCCTTTCATGGTCTGATCTTGTCAGGATCTGTTCCCAGTGATGATGTCCTGCCATCTCGCCCCTTATCTCAGTGGTAGAAGGTGGGCTGTTCTTGCCCTCATTGTTGAATGACTTTGGTGAGCCAGGACTTTGAGATCTAAGGAAAGCCCTACCACTGGGTGGACGGTATTGTTTTGTTTGATATTAACAAGCATGTGTTCTTTGTTTTCTTAGCAAAGAGGGTGTATATGAAATCAGCCATTCACCCACAGGCATATCTAGGTAAGTGACCTTAATCGATGCATGAGTGTACTAATTGTCACTATAAATAATGAAGCATTTAAAGCAAAATATATCAGAACTTATATATCTAAATTAATTGCTTAGAAGAAGTCTCTGTAATTACTCAGTGGCACTGCCATTATTATAACCCTTTCTGGAGCCTCCCTTTTAAAGCAAGTTTAACAGTCACACAAGGAAACCAGTTGCATTATTTTGGTCACATCTCATTGTTAACCAGGTATGGCTAAGGTGAGCTTGGGCTCTTTCAGAATATCGAATGCATCTTTAAAGAGTAAAAACGTTCAAGAGAATGTTCCAAGGGCTTTCAGAACACTTCCTAAGAAGGATCTCTAAAATGATTTGAACTGACTTAGCAATATTAAAATAAGTTGCTTATTCATTGAGAGAAAGAACCATCATTTGGCTATTTTAATTTTAATGTAATCATAAATGATTGTTTCCCCTACATTTCGCATAGCATCAGAAGACTACCAATTGTTAAAATGACACGGGGCCAGGCTTACTTTACTTCTCACAGCAGCCCTCTGAGGTGGATATGAACTTCATGTTACGGGTTACAAAAGCCAAGGTCCAGAGGTTGAATGACTTGCCCAATTTGAAGCAGTGCTGCAGCAAATTTGAACCATGTCTATAAGAGCCCCTATGAATCCTTTTGTTTTTCATGCTTTTATTGGTCTGCATACAGAAGTTTATTTTACATCCGAGCATCGTGACCTGGGTGATGTTGGGCTCTGCTTGCTACGGGAGGTGTGGTGAGATGATTTCATCTCTCCAGGAAAGGAGGCATCATCCAGCTTAGTTCACTCTGCTAACAGAGTCTGCAAGCCATCTTTTCTGTGCAGTTTAGTTACGAATGGTTGTTTCTGCTTCAAGGGTGCGCTTGTATCCTGGCTTTGTTGACTTGAGAGAAGCTGACTGGGTATTGGAGCAGCTTTGTCGGGAAGTTCCCTGGGAACAGAGGACCGGCATCAGAGAGGGTAAGTGGATCTCTGAGATCGCAGCGGTTGTCGCCTGCCTCACTTTCTGGAGTGTTTTCCAACACTCGCCTCTTTTCACCACAGTTATCAAGGATGCATAGAAGTTAGCCAGTCAGAGAAAAGGGACAGAGGGGTAATAGACTCAGAACATGGCAGGAGAACAGGGTGGGCGGGCACTCAAGCAACCAGAGCAGTTTGGGTTGGCCGAACTGTGGCTGACACGCTAACTTCCCTTTGCGTTTGTTCACTGCCTTTGTTACATCACATGGTGCCAGTGTCCCTCTTTCTTCATAGAAACTTCCAGGGCTTTCTATTTTTTTCTGATTCTACTCGGCATACGTTTTTCACAATCCTTACTGGCTTTTTATTTTCTTTCTTGTTTCACTGGAAGAGTCGCTCCTGTAGCTTCAGCTGTACTCTCTTGAGCTTGTACTCTCTTGTCAAGCATTGGAGCTGCTCTGTGGTCAGCCACAAGCTGCTCGAGCACCTGTAGTACCGGAGGGGGCCACTAAGCGGCATCTGTGCTCTTATACAATTCCTTTCTGGCAAATCAAGTGAATTTAAATTTTCTGTAAAGAAAAAGTCTAAGTATACTGGCTTCATTTGACTCAAATATCAGAATAACTCAGCTCTCCCTCCTCACTCCCAGCAGTTTCTACAGCAGGGCTTTTGGTGACAGACTTGCCTTTGATTCTAGACTCTGTTATTCAAAATAATTGTTAATTTTAAGCAAAATACAGTAATTTCCTAGTCCTAAGTTTCCAGATCTGTGAAATGGAGCCAATAATAATAATAATAATAATAATACTTACCTTATAAGGTTGTTGTGATAATTAAATGAGATAATGCATGGTAAGTACTTACCAGAATGGCAGGTACATAGTAAGTGAATGTTAGCTGCTTTTATTGTTATTATTCTAATTGTTGCAGTAATTGATACCAATTGCAGGGGGAAATAGATCTATGAATAACTCCCTTTCTAAATAAATTGGACATAAGAAACTTCTAAAATCAGCTGCATGCTGTGGTTGATCAGAGTACACTTTCTTTGGTGGCAACAGGTAAATGGTCTGTCTTGTTTCTTTAAAAAAAAAAAAAATATATATATATATATATATATATATATATATATATATATATATATATATTTTATTGATTTGAGAGAGAGAGGGAGAAAGAGAGAAATATCAATGTGAGAAAGAAACAGAAATTGGTTGCCTCCTATAGGCACCCCTTCCAAGGACCGAACCCACAATCTGGGCTTGTGTCCTGACTGGAAATTGAGCCAGTGACCTTTTTGGTGAACAGGACAATTTTCAACCAACTGAGCCACACCAGCCAGGGCCTGTCCTGTTTTTTTGTAGGGATGTTGGTGCTACAAATTCCTGCCTACAAGGCTTCAGACTCTGGGTCCTGCTTTTTCGATCCTCCTTGTCTCTTGTTGACTCCTTCATTCTTATTTGTGTCTGACACAACTAAGTCACACATTCTCACCTCATAATTTGCTCAGACTGTTTCTGCCAGCACCTCTTCTCGTCTTGAAATTGCATGTTCTCTCTGAAGGTTGAGCCTGGGTCAGTGCCCATCCTTGCTCAGCCTTTGTATTTCTCATAGCTTTTTGCACATTGTGGTTAGCACTCAGTAGGTACACCTTAAATAGCATTAAACCATTTCAAAGGCCCTGTATTTTCTTTCTCAGATGTAACTTACCAGCAACCAAGACTCACAGCATGGTATGGAGAACTTCCTTACACTTACTCCAGAATCACTATGGAACCAAATCCTCACGTATGTTGGAACATTGCTGTTGTATTTCTATACATAACTGTAAAGTACTAGAAAAGAACAGTAAAACACCTTACAGAGTTGCATGATGGTTCCTCGTTCAAAAACCCTCTGGGTTCAAACACTCTTTGTCATTGGTCAGAAAATCTGGAACTGAAGTGAAATGGAATCAGACTCCCGGATTTCAGGAAAATGATCCACTTCTTCTCCTAGTCTCCTCCTTCCCCAACCCTTTCTGGCTGCAGCCTTCTGTACGTACCCTGGGACACATTTACTGCGAGCCCAGAGTCCTCATGGCTGGCCAGCGAGGTCAGAACGTCTCTTCATTTTTCAGGCTAGGTTGTCATTTGTGGAAAACATTGGTGTTTTTCTTGTTGACTTTGGATTTCTTCTTAGACCTCAACTTATTGCTTTGGCTTGTTTCTAAAAATTTCCATGACAGACAAAGAGATGCTAGTATATAAATTAAGCTTGTCCAGAGGATGGAGTTGAGATCCAAGAAATAGCTCCTTGTTTAGTCTTTGGAACCTTGCCCTTGGCAGATAATGTTATGCTTTATGGAAAGAGACTTTGAAGAAAATGGAGTTTGCTTACGGCATTGGGATAAACAGAAATGTGACATGACACACTTCAGAGCTTCTCATAATTTATAATTATAAACTATCCCTGCGCTAAAATGTTTGTGGGTCAAACATTGGTGTGGGGTGCGTGGCTTTTTTACGCAAGGGGAGAGCTCTGCGCTTTGTTTCTGGGCTGCGTTGAGAGTGTGATCAGGGAGGTGTTGAGACCTTATAGCTGAGGTTGGTTTGGAGACAAGAGAATGGAACTAGGCCAACCCAACATAGACTGCTGATGTTTCTGTCCGAATTAATGTACCTTTTTGTCAGCAGTCACAGCAGAGAAGCTGAAGATTAAGCAGGCTGTGGGGAAGAAGCTCCTCATTTATTCTAGTTAATCTTTTAGAACAGGATTCCTCAACCTTAGCATTACTGCTTTGAGGCTGGTTAATTCTTCGTTATTGGGGCCGTGCTAGGCATTGTAGAATGTTTAGCAGTTAGTCTGACTTCTCACTGAATGCCAGAAGCACTCTCACCAAGTCGTGACAACCAAAAATGATTCCAGACTTTACCAAACATCTGCTGAGGGGCAAAACTGCCCCTGGTTGAGAACCACTGCTTTAGAATAAACAGAAGGCACATAAGATCTGCTGAGTAGAGTAGTCTTTTATGCGTGGAGGACATTTTGACAACTCTTAAAGGGTATTTCTTTTCATGACAATCCTTTTATTATAATGTAAGTAATAAGTATATATTATTGAAAATTTAGAAACTGCAGATAAACATGAAAAATACCAAAATTTTGGGTAATTCTTCCAGCTGATTTTTGGTTCCAGTCTCTATTTCATTTTAGGCAAATATATGAAAAGAGTAAAATAAATTATGTATACTGCATTTCTTTTTTTATCATTTAAATTTTGTTTTTTAGTTACAGTTTACATTCAGTATTATGTATTTTGTATTAGTTTCAGCTATACAGCATTTTGGTTAGACAGTTATATACTTTACAAGGTTATACCCCAATATTTCAAGTACCCTACCTGGCACCATATAAAGATATAACAATACTGTTGATTATATACCCTAAGTTGTACCTTGCATCCCTGGGACTGTTTTGTGACTACAAAATTATAGTTCTTAATCCCTTCACCTTTTTCACTCAGTCCTCCAACTCCTTTCCCTCTGGCCACCATTCATCAGTCTTTTCCCTGTATCTGTGAGTCTGTTTCTATTTTTATTGTTTAGTTTGTTCTTTAGATTCCACATGTAAGTGGAATCATATGGTATTTGTCTTTTTCTGGCTGACTTATTTCACTTAGCATAATACCCTCTAGGTCCATTCATTCTATTGCAAAAGGTAAGATTTTATTCTTTTTTTAAAAATTGATTTTAGAGAGAGAGAGATAGAGAAACATTGATTTGTTGTTCCATTCCTTTATGCATTCATTATTGCTTTAAAAAAATATATGCTTTTATTGATTTCAGAGAGAGAGGAAGGGGGAGAGAGAAGCATAGATGTGCGAGATAAACATCCATTGGTTATTTCCTGTACACACCCCTACTGGGAATCAAACCAAAAACCTAGGTGTGTGTCCTGACCGGGAATCAAACCCATAACCTTTTTTTAATTAAGGTATATATATGTGTCCTTATCAAATACATATCTTTTGGTATATGAGACAGTGCTCTGACCAACTGAAGCACCAGAGCCGGGCATTTCTCATATTTTTTAAGGGGGATTCATTAATGTGTATATATGTGTGTATTGGGGATACTTGTTGGATTTTAAAATAATTATCTCAAGCTTAATATATAACACAGGAGCAGATTCAGTCATAGGTTATTAAACTTCTTTTAGTCTTTGCTCAAACTAAATCTCATATGAACCTGATATATGGAAGTAGCTGAGTGCCTTAGCTGCCTGGAGTCCTACCACTTGCCCTCTCCTTTCCCCTGTGGTAATCCCAGAGGTACCTCTGAGTTACCTAGGACTGTACAAAACACTGTTTGAAATCCACTGAATGCATCCTTTCACTTCTGCGATTCATATTTCCTCAGACTTTTTCACAAATGTCTTTTAAGGATAGCATGGCTTCACTGCACAGTGAGATGACGCTGAATTTTAATTTAGACATTCAGCTCTTGAGGGCTCTGTATATAGAGTATTGGGTGGAGAGTCTAAATTAATCCTCTAGTTCATTATCCCCCTTTTTCTCCTTTTCTCCTTACTTCACCACCAAAAATAACCAAGAAAAAAATACATAGCCACTTAGAAACATAATGCAAACCTGGTGTTATTACAGTGCTCAGTCCTGAAGCAAGACAGGAAAGTGCTAATTGGTTTCTCAGTCACATGGCAGAAAAGCTATCTTCCTCCCTTACATTCTGGTTTTTCTTGTTGAGTGTAATTCTAGCATCTGATCTTTATCTGATCCATGAAGTTAAGTTTAAAGCTATAAAATAAATAGGAAATACAGCTTGCTAACATTGTTATGGAATTTCACCTGAAAATCATTCTCTTAAATATAGGCTAACTTAATAAGATTTCTGTTTTATTGATCTAAGTTTTGTACTTATCACTGTTTATCTTTTAAAGTCCTCTGTTAGAATGTAATGTTAACATTCATAAGGAATCCCAGCTTTTGCCATGGTTTCCCTATCATAGCAAAGCTGATTGATTCCCCCATGTGCTTCCATGGCATTTTTACCTGACCGTAGCCAAGAGACATAAATAATAATAATAATAATAATAATAATAATAATAACAGCAACAATATAATAACATTATTATGCTTTCCTTTGTTAAACATTCATTCCTTCGCTACCAAACCTAGAACATGGACCTTGAAGGGTTTCTGTAACGTATCAATTCTTACAGTACAATCTATGGACCCTGGAGGAGGGTCACAAAATTCTTTTTGGAAATTCATAAGGTCAAACTATTTTTATAGTAATACTAAGACTGGGTGACATTTTTACTATGTTGAATTTTCACTGATGGTGAATAAAAATAAATAATGGTGGATATAACTTAGTTTGAACCAGGCATTGTCATCAGACTGTGCTAATAACCACTGTATTCACGTTTGTGCTCTTTCAGTTTTAAAAAAATGCTGGTTTTCTTTAAGAACGCCCTTGGATGAAGCAGTAAACATTAGTGTTATGAAATCTCAATCTTTTTAATAGTTTGAGGAAATGGGAAGTATGTGCAAAGTATCCTAATACAGGCCCAGTATGATGGTTATCAAGAAAAAACATGTGTGATTGTGTAAGCCGTAATTTGAACTGGCTACTTTTTTTATGGACTATTTTTTCTTTGAAATATCAACTAGCAGACCAATTATAGTTATTCACACTTGAGTATTTGGCAGACATATTTTTTTAAAAATGAATGAAATGAGTGTCACTTCAAGGAAAACAACAGGATTTAATACTAATGGCAAAGATTGCGTTTTCAAGCAAAAAATAGTATTTTGGGAAAACTCATAACTGCCACCTTGAGCCTGACCTCTTCTCCTTACTTTGCCTTTTCTGATGAGATCCATGGTAATGTTAATGGATCTGGGGTGTTTTTTTGGTATTATATAATGAAAGATCTGTATAACTCAGTGAACCAATATTTCCTAGATGTTACAGAGGTATACAGGATTGAAAATTCATTTGAAATGCAGCATGGACCAATGATTTAAATATAGCAATATGAAAAGTTTATTCATACAGTTTCAGATTCCACATTGCAACTAACCTTTAGAAATCAGGGCTTGTTGAATTTTGGTTTGATATCAAAGAATATCTGTAATTATTTGAAAAGGCTATAAAAGACTATTTCTAACCACATGTCTGTGAGAAGGCAATTTTCTTCACATAGTTCAGCAAAAACAACATACTGTAACAGATTGAATGCAGAAGCAGATCTGACAGTCAGTTGGCTTCAGTTAAGCCAGACATTAAAGAGACTTGCAAAGCAGTGCTTGCTGCTCTTCTCACCCATTGTTTGTATTAGAAAATAGTTATTTTTCATCAAACATTATTTTGTTAACATGTAATGAGTTTGCTATTTTTTAAATTAACCAATAGATTAAAATTTTTTTCAGCTATAATTTTTAACCTGGCAAATCTTAAAGCCGTAACCCATATAAACAGAAGGTCTATGGGGTCCTCAGTAGGTTTTGATAGTACAACCACTGTCCTAAAAGAAGCTCTGTAAAGCATTGTGTTTTCCAGAGGGAAGAATTTTAACAAGAATCAACACAAGCTATGCTGCTTATAGCTTGAAAGTACAACCTAAGATCAGGGGTCATAGCTTCCTGTAGTGTAGATTGTGATTTCTAAAGTGTAAACTACATAATGAACTTGGTGATCAGGAGGCAGGACTGTGGATCTGTTTAAATCTCCTCTAGTTCACAGACCGTACACTTACCAAGACTATCTCATAATTTCATCCTGTAGAAAGGAGTATTTTCCCCATTAGGTTGAGTTTCTAGGAAGCTAGCCACTCTGGAAATATTAAATTTCTTTTTTTAAAAAGCAATTCTGCCATTCACAATAAAATAGAAATAGGATGGACAGAGGGCCACCCAGTAAGAAAGTTGTTTGGCTTCTCACACTTCATTCTGTGTTTGCTATCTACCTGGCAGCCCATCAATGATGGTGCAAACCAGACTCACTGCTCCACTTCCCGCCTTATTGACAACCAAGGTGACTGACTGGAATAGACAGTTCCTCTTTCTGAGAGTCATGTATTTAACATGGGAGGGATGAGATGGATGGATAGGCCTGGTCCTCATAGAGCTGTGATACTAAATTTAGTACCTTAATAAAACTGCAGAGGTTAACTTGCTTCAAAATAGAAGTAACGGATGGGCATTAAACTACTCTTTCTGCCTTCTGTCTATTGCATTCCAAGTGGTTTGCTTATTCCACGCTCCTGTGTATAAAATGTGACTGATTTTGCATTTCCTTTCTGTTTTTCCATGTGGCTCTCTGCTCCTTTCCTTGGCCTGGTGACTGCAGTGGCACCCTGTGCTGTGCACACTTAAGAACCAAATTGAGGAGAACACGGGCCACACCTTCAACTCCTTGCTCTGCAACCTTTACCGCAACGAGAAGGACAGTGTGGACTGGCACAGCGATGATGAGCCCTCGCTGGGGAGGTGCCCGGTCATCGCCTCTCTCAGTTTTGGTGCCACACGCACTTTTGAGATGAGAAAGAAGCCCCCGCCAGTGAGTACTCCTTTTTGGCTTTTTAACTTTTACTTTCTTCCCCCCGTCCAGGTATTCTGTGAAAAAAGGGGTGCTCCTGTTTTCAGATTTAGAGGATAGAAGTGTGTGATTTGTTGATGAAACATTTTGAACTGATTGCTTACTCCATGGTTAACGTTTGGCTTCCAAAGCGCCCATTCACTCATTCACTTTCCTACCAGACACTGCCTGCCACGTGCCAGGTGCTGGCCAAGTTCCTTTAGTTGTCTGCCAATAGCAAGAGAATCTGCACTGTAACTGCGGTAGATGATTTGATAAAAATACAGATCTGATAAGTAAGAAAATTTGTCCTTGGTGGAAAGGACAGACACTGTTCCTGTGCTCCTGTAGACGGGGTAGACAGATATTATAATTATGCACTTAATTACAATGATGGAAAATGCTATAAAGGAGGACTTATAAAGAGATGGCCCGCCGAAACCGGTTTGGCTCAGTGGTAGAGCGTCGGTCTGCAGACTGAAAGGTCCCAGGTTCGATTTCTGTCAGGGGCATGTACTTTGGTTGCGGGCACATCCCCAGTGGGGGGGTGTGCAAGAGGCAGCTGGTCGATGTTTCTCTCTCATCGACGTTTCTAGCTCTCTGTCTCTCTCCCTTCCTCTCTGTAAAAATCAATAAAATATATTTAAAAATAAATAAATAAATAAATAAATAAATAAATAAAAAGATGGCCCAAGCTAGAGGGGGCGAGAGGAAAAGGAAAGAGGTTCCAGGAAAGATGCTCCTAAAGAAGCCTTATTTGAAGTAAGTGTTCTTCATGGCACTGATGTCTTTTCCCTGTGAGGGAGCATCACCTGCATCCGCATTGCCTCCTTAGCTTTCTCCTGGAATACTGACGCCCCTGCCATTCCTTCAGAGAGGAAGTTCAAGCCAGATATCGGAAGTGGCGGTCTGACCAAGTTCAGATAGAGAAGCAGTGACTAAACTGACTATACAGTAATTTCATTTTTCCATCTCAGCTCTTGTATTGTATTATATAACGTTGAGTGATGCAAGGCTGTTAACTTTTTTTTTTTTTAAAGTACAGAAGCTTAGGACTAAGGTAAATAGAAAGACAGTAGAAACTCTAAGAAAAAACAAAACAAAAAACACACAAATCTCTACCAAATTATTTTATTTCCAGAGTTCGTGTCTTTTTCTAACCAAGGTTCCCAATCATTCCTTTTACAACATTGAACCAGATGCAGGCAGTGTGGAAGGCCTGCGAGGCTGTCTTGAATGTGACTTGATCCAGACCTCATAGTTACTGTTAGGCAGTGCTTGTGTCTGTCCTTCATCAAACATCTTCTCTGAGGATGCAATTAATGGACTGGACTGTTTCCTGACATGTGTTTGGGTTTCCAAGCACAGTATTTTGAAGCATAAGGTGTTATTTTACATTTATGCTATTAAGTACCTTTTGTATGTAAAATTCCCATTGATTTAGGTTTCCATTACTTTGTTTAATCAGAAACTTTGATCAATGTAAGCAGGGAATTGTCAGTTGCCAGTGAGTTAGTTATTGAATGATCCTGCTCTTTGCGTTCTCTTCACACTCTCATTGGCAGTCCGCCTTTTCTTGTACCATTCGAGAAGCAGACTGCTCGGCCTTTGCTGTCTTCCTGTTAGGTCTGCTTATGTGTTTCTGCAGAGACTTCCACTCAGTTAAATCCCAAGTTCACATGTGTGAAGAATTAAATTCATCCTGCCCTGTTATGTGAGTGGCAGAGGAACACCATGTTTCATCTGTTAATTCAGACCCTCTTCTTAAGCCAGTCATATGGAACACCAGCTATGTGCTGAGTGTGGTCCTGGGCGCAGGGCTGTAGCCAGGAAAAGGATGAAGTGATCCTCCTCCTTGGAGCTCATGATCCAACACCTACTAGTGCTGTGTCTTCCCCCAGGGTCGTCCTTCTCTCCTGGCAACTGGCAAAAAGCTGTAACATGTCCAACATAACCTTTACTGCAATCCTAGTGTCTGATTCTTCACAGTTATTTTCTTTGTTGCCAAGTATTTACGTATTCAGTTACTGTTTTTTTACCCTCGTACATTTACCATCATCCCCTTTTAAAAACATCTTTGGCCTCTTTATAGATTGAAGTTTAAGAGTTCCCAAAGCATTATTTCTGGGTAATTAGTTTTACTGTATAAGCAGTCTCCGGCTGCTATTAAGCACTAATAATGTTCTTGTGCCCAGAATATCCCCATTCCTTTTCGCCTCCAGGAAGCTGAAGATCTTCATTTACTGATATAAAACATTCATGGTGTTCAAGAGCTGTTTCTTGGTAACATACTTCAGTTATGTTATAGTTTAATGTGTGGGTGGAGAATATAACTGTCACATAGCACTGTTTCTCAGGGCAACTGCTTGGAACAAAACCTCTGTTAAAGAGAGGGACTGCTCATACCGAAGCCCTAGCTCAAGGCATCTTGGAGTCTGTTTTGATGAACATGAGGGCAAGTACAGGCCACGAAACACTAACAATGTAGTGAAGTCCCTTTCATTGTCTGCCAGTAGCAAGGGAATCTGCACTGTAACTATGGTAGCTGATTTGATAAAAATACAGATCTAATAAGAAAATTTGTCTGAGATCTTGAAACAATGTTGGCAAAGGAAACGGATTCGGGAAGAAATGTAAGTGTGTCAGTACCTCACGTTATTGACTCTAATAAGTTTGGCTTCCTACATAGTCTTAGCTAGGATTGAACTTGATGCAATTGTATGTTCCTTCAATCCTGGCTTTTGTTTAAGATGGGGAAGTTAAATGTTAATATATTTAAATTATGATCATGCATAAGTAAATATTCTTTACAAATGAATCCCTTCCCCCACCCTTAACCTATAGGTTCCATTCTTGGGTAAAGAGGACCCAAGTTTAAACTTTTCCAAAAACTCCTGCAAGTTTCTTTAACAGATAAAAATTGGGGGGCTCTGCAAAACTAGAAGTGCAGAAGCCTTTCTTTAGTCGATAGCCTACAGTGCATCTAGAGCACATCGTCTTCATCCTATTATAATGATCGCTTTCTGAAGGATGGAAAGACAATGGTTATTGCAAGTCTTTGTCTTCTTTCTTTCCACACTCCAGTGATAGAAAGTAGCTATGAGAACATGACTCATGACTCATACAACCCCAGGTAAAACATAAATTTAAAAGCATAAATTGGGTGAGTCTGCTGTGTGGAATTTGTAGGAGTCTGACTTTCTGTAGCTCTTAGGCACCTGTCTTCGTATGGCACTATAGGTTGTAATTTTCCTGCCTGTCAACAAGACATTCGGAGTGTGCTAGAGGCTGTCAGAGGAATCTTTTTCAAAATCCAGTTGGTTTTAACCTATCAGAAGGGAAGCTAATAGCTGTTTGACTTGAGTCAGTTTCTCATCTGAAACTAACATAGAATAATCATGAGATTTCCTGCACTTCATTCAAATACGCAGTTTTAAGACTGAGAGGCATCTGTTTAAATTTGGAGTACTTTCAAAGAGAAATAGTCTTTCTTTCTTTTTTACGTTCACACTCCTCCACCCCTGCAGCAGCTGTTGGTTTTGGTCTGGCACCTTAAGCAGATCTCTGTAGCTGCTGACCTTCTGAAAGCTGTTCCAGTTCCTCACATTGTAGTCCTAACAGTCTCTCCCTGTGCTGAGATGGTAAGGAGATCTTTGTTTCCTAAGCAGCAGTGCCCCTCTGATTCATGCAGTTGGCTCAGTCAGTTTCATGCTTGCATCATCCCTGGGATTACACATTTCTCTCCTCCAAGATGCCCATCCTTTTTCACTGTCCTGCCCATTCACTGTGATTGTAGAGTAGGTTATTGTTTCCTTTAATGATAATAAGGTGCTTAGGGCATAGGAAACTAACCGGATCTTGCTCTTCCATTCACCCCATCCCATTTGTTAATTCAGTTAAAGACTGAGTGAATAGCACACTTCTGTCTATCTACTGGCCAATGTCAGGATATACTGTCTTAAGACAAAAGTAAACGTCAGTAGACATTTTTTTAGAAACCAAGAACCTTTCTTATTCTACCAAGCTGAGTTTGTTAAAGCTTTTTTTGCACTCTTTGTCCCAAATGGCGTTGTACTTTTCAAACTGCACGGTGTCCCTGTTGTAAAGATTAGTCTGGTTCTTTGCCCAGCTAGCTTTAATTCTATACTGAAAAACAAGCTGGACGGGGAACTACAAAAGCCATTTGGCAGGCTGCTATTTCTCCGTCAGTTACCATGGAAACGGTGATGGCTGAGTTGGGGGTTGTTATTAGGTAATAACAGGAAGTTTGTGATACACTGGAGAGTTAGATGCCAAAAGCCTTTTTTTTTTTTTTTTTTGGTAGCAAATTATTCATGGGTAAATTCTGTCCTTCATCAGTTGGATCCTAAAAAGGGAGGGGCTTCTTATCTACTACAAGATGATGGAGTTGAGACACATTAGACATTTTTTCTTGCCACTTCTCCCTCTGAGAGATGGGAACCCTATTTGTGTCACCAGGAGAGATGGTTGTAAAACCACTTGTAATGGCAGAGGCTCTGAGAGTGCCCAATGAACTGGAGTTCCCAGTGCCTCCCTTGCTAAGAGCAGAGTACAAAAAGGTCAGTTTAATCATAAATACTGACATTTTTTCAGGACTTTAGAAGAAATGATGATGTTGGAATCCAAAATAATATATTGACTAGGTTCAATTTGAAAACTGGATAAACCGTGCGTAGTATTTCATAGAGTGTTAACAACCCCCCCCCCCATGCTGTTCCAGTTATCCATCCTTATTACTCTGTTCCCTTCTTACAGCAGCTGTCCTGAGAAATTACAAGAAATACATGAAAGAAATCCTTGATTACCATCATCTTTTTAGTACATGCCCTAATGAAATTTAGAAAATCAAGTTTTGTTTCCTGCTTCTGAAATGATGCTGGTAAAAAGCATTCATCTGCCTCATTTATACTTACTCCCTTTTTTTGTAGATGGAGATGGTAATTGGCAGCCGCTCGATAGGA